ATCCTATCACCAAATGGCTTTGTTACATTCAATAGCCAGTCAGAATCCATCTTCATATTCATGACATGTCAGGTTCATTTGACTTCGTTAACTCAATCATTTATATTTGTGTACCAAATATGCAAATGTTTCCTTGTAATGTCAATTCAGTCATTACTAATGTTTTGTTAGATGACATTAATGAAGACACTAACCATGACTTTCTCAACCATCGAAGTAGTCCCATTAGATTATGAAAAATTTAAAAAGATAATCCCGCAAAGTTTTTTCCCAGCGAATCATTCGTAGATTCTATATATCCCTCTTGAAAGAAGAGATCAAGCTTGGACCAATAGACCGACAATCCTTCTTCTGTATTCAAGGGGCGAATCCGCACTCACTTTAAAATGTCTAATTTAACTTTATAAATTACTATGAAGGAAGATTTCGGTGGACCGAGGTGACGAGACCTAACCAGATGCTAAGGAATCGACTTGTTAATCTCTTCACCTTCTCCTGCATACACCTATGCAAGATAGTATCCGAAGATCCATTTGGGTAGGACGCCCTTTGTACAAGCTATGTAACCAGCTCCACAAGTGAAAGTGAATTAATTCACAAACATGGAGGTGCCTCAAAGCTGCAGTTTGTCCTTTACACAGCCTTGTATCAGTATCAGAAAAAACAACCCAAAGTTGGGCGGAAAAGAATGTTTTTCTATTTCCCTAAACAACTGACTTTTGGGCATTTCTGCCAATATATCTCCTTTAAATCTAGTATTCATAAATAGGCTTTTCCTTGGAACCGTAGAGATTTTTTCTTGGTGAAATTAAAACATTTATGTTATTCTGAGTGAATCTTGACGGATAATAAAAGTCGATAAACCGTTTTGAAGTACTCCGAGCACCCTACTAACTGCATCATTTGTGCAAATTCTTTCAATTTTTGTGTATAGTGAATGAATTACATTCCTTTTCTTGCCTAGTGGAATTCAACTAGGAAAACTGGTATTTTTTCCATTACAGGTTTGTTTCCTATATATTTCGATCCCCTTAGGGAACCATCATGTCTTATTCCTAACAGAATGTTCAGGAAGTGGAATTCTGAGTTGTTTTCAGTTTCCATGATAAGAAGATCAATTTACAAGAAATAGACCAAGAATGGACAATATACCAATTTTCCAAATTAGGTCCCACTAGGCAAGAAAATGAATCTAATTTCTTCACTTCACACAAGAATTAGAAATCGTACAGATGGTACAGTAAATGAGACGTTGGTAGTAATTCGAAGTAGTTTGGTAGTTAATGTTGTGATTTGCTTGCTGGTGGGTAGGTAGCAGTGGAATCCAAGACGTGCATTCCATACTATAAAAAAATCCTATACTTAAGCATCGAATTAAATCATGTTACTTAGCTCCACTCCAACCTTCTCCTTAGGTTATCTAAAACGTTATGCCAGTTGTTTTAAAAGGATTAAATTTCTTTATGTTTTGCATAGTAGAAGCGATGGCAATCCGTCAGTTGAAGCAAGAGATCGTTGAGCAAAAAAGTATGCTCATACACTCTTCTCACTATGGCCTTAATTCCCTACCTCCTAATTTTCTGTTCTCATTATTATTAATAATTAGCTCACAACTAAAACTTTCATAATGATCATTTCTTTCTTCACCTACTTTTCATTGGTCAAGTAGTCACTTCACCATTTCATCGGAAATCTAAGAAACAAGTCTCACTTTCTCGGAGTTCTTGCGTTCTGATCACTTCATCACATCATACAAAATCACATAATTCCTTTTGACACTACAGACAACTTTTTATTTCATTTTTGAACACTATAGAAATAACCTAACACCACCTCACTGGTTGATAACAAACAGTTGTTTATTTTATTGCTTACAAATACGGTTGTGTAGTTTAGCTAAATGACATGGTTGAAAAAATGTGGTCTTCGCTAAGTTGTCTTTCCCCTTCTTTATGAGTGAATGGTTATAGCTTTTCACCACCACTGAAAGAAGACTCTGACAGTTAACTAACTTGAACTTTAATAAGCTAAACACAATCTACATTTGACCAAAACAAAATGCCTAATTGACAAAGGCTTCAGCAATAAGCTTTTCAGCTAGTACCATTGCCCACTGTATACTACCAACCTCATTACCATTTTGTACTTACTTCTGTTTTCAATGTCATAAGAGTGTGAAATGTAAAATAATAGATTTTAATTTGCACACTACATCATCGCTGAATATTTGTATCCCACAATGGGGTTATTACTTCATCGGTTTACTGTCCGGTCAAACCGTTAGAACTACTATTTACTGCTATAGCATATACACTTTCAGTTTATCATTCCATCTCATGAAATAATTTCGAGTCTTCACAAAAAAACATGTTAACTATTTTATGCGCTCTGCGCATTTGTAAGCAATTAACATATGTCTTGAATCATAACTGCAGGTATTCAATCCATTATTATTATTATTCCTTTGGTCCTTTAGACTCTCCAGGATGATGTGGCATAATATTTTGCCTCGGGTGCACAGCAGCATGATTCCTCACCAGTTCATGCAAATGGCTTATGTCTCCCTTCTTTGACAGTTTGACAAGGTTGCCCTTCTCCCAATCTATTCCCACCTACCTTCACTTCACTTCACTTCACTCCCTCCTAACCTCCTACAGTAGTGGTGTGACGTGGTGTGATGTGGTCAGCTGTGGTGTGGTGTGAGCATGTCCACTGTTGTCTCTGCTTCTGTTCTCAGTGCTCCTGGAGGAATTCCATTTGGTCCTGCTGCTCTCCCACATTTCAGCAGTTTTATGGTGTTCATGACTTCACTTCTGCTTTTGTCGGAGGCTTTGTGTTCACTGATAGTTTTTTCGTGGCTGAGCTGCTCGTGGTATTCTGGACGAGTTGCAGGTGATGGTGGTGCTGGTTGTCGATTCGACAGTTTTCGAAAGTGGTCAACCCATCGTTTCCTCTCTCCCTCCCTCCCTCCCTCCCTCTCTCTCTCTCGCTCGCTCGCTCCTCTTTGGTGTTGACTGAGTCTCCTTCACCATCTTTCATTGCTTCCATCTGCGTTCATCTCTTCACTGATGGTAGGCAACCTGGTTATTTGATATGGTGTTGTCAAGTCTCTGTCTCTCTCTGTCTCTCAGCCTATTCTGCTTCACTTGCAAGTATGTCGTAGATGCATTCTTTGTCTTTGCACACACTCTTCTTCACTTCTTTGTCCAGTGTAGTGTTTTGTGGGCTGCGTTCAATTCCTCTTTTCGTTGTTCATCCCTGCACTCCCCTGGTTGTTCATCTTCTGCCTCACCATCTTCCCCTCCCTCTCCCTCTCCCTCTCCCTCTCCCTCCTCTATCAGCTCCCATGTGTCTGTCGAGATCCATTCCTTGTCTTGCCACCTCTCCCCCCTTCCTGGTACCGTTATGCAGGTTTCCTTCCACATAGCTTTCAAAGAGTTCCAGTGTTCTTCGACTCAGGCTACTTCAGGGATGTTGCTCAATGTCTCGTATTTTGTCGTGATGACTGACTGACTGACTGACTGACTGACTGACTGACGTGAAGATGTAGTTTGTAGTTTCGTCCTTCAGTTCGGTGTCTGTTCTGGTTGTTCAACTCGAACTGTGATCTATCTATCACCAACTTGTTTGAAGGCTTTCAATTTGATTTTTAATGTGGGTAGGTAGGTTCCTTGTACTAGATGGTGAGTGGTGTGAACCACCTACATCTGCTCCCCTTCTTGATCTTGTTGGCTGATCCAGTGGACTGCGTCTCCGCTTGCTTGAGATTGAGATGAAGTTGATCTGATTTCCAGTGTGTCCTGGTGTCTGATGAAATCCATGTCGCTGACCTGTGAATATCCTCGTGTTTGTACACACTGCCTCGTCTCCAATCACCAAATCGTTGAATGCACAGAAGTCTGCGAACAGTTCTCCATTCTCACTCTTCATTCCACTGAGTGCTTCTCGACCCATGATGACTTCTCTTCCAGTGTTGTCCGCTCCCAGTTTGGCTGGCATTCATGTCACCCCACGCATTAGAATTTCGATGTCACCCACTGGTGTGGAGTCTTGTCTAGCTAGTACTAATTGCAGTTGTCTGTAGAATTCCTCCTTTTTCTGTTCATCTGCATTGTTTGTAGGTACGTAGTGTAGCATTGAATGATTGTGACTTTCGTTTCTTTTGAGTTGAATCTTGCTGTTATGATCCTGCAGGATGAAGTTGGTTCTTACTGTATAAGTGCCTTCGATAACAAGTTATTGTAGCATTTTATACTGAGGCCTTTTTTCGATGAATGTGAGACGATTCTTGAGTTTTATGTATGTATTACTGCGAATACTTTTAGATCCTACAGTGGTTCGTAGGTCAGGTGTGATATATGTATATTTGTAATATCAACCATGTTTTTGAGTATGAATGACTTTTTTTTCATTCGATAATTTTGGCTTCTGCCATATTAATAAAACAGCATTCAGTCGACTAACTGATCAGCAGATCAGTTTTTTAATATTCCATCAGGGGAGTTTTTGAAGAGGGATTGTTTATTTGCTAACAAGGTTATGATGTTTATATCAAGCTTGAATACCATGTTCAGCCTATGGTTAAGCAGACATTATTATTGTATTCGCATCCACTAAAGTTATAGCCTAAAAAATATTTCTAATTTGTCAGGCTAGTAAGGAGCAGGTTTCTATTAAGCAATTTAATTTATGTATATGATTACAAAGAGAAATGGAAAGGCTATGAGAAATAATAAGAACACGTTTGTATTTTTACATTGAATCAAGTGAAATATTATTAAGGATTCATCACTAAAAAACGTTTCACTCAGAGACCAGTGAAAGTGTAATTTATAAGTACATTCAATATTATTTCATTAAACACAACTTGGCATGATTTCCATGTATACGGTTGCTTTTGATATTCAATGTTAAACTAAGCAAAATCTCCAACTAAGGTTGGATGTGGTATAAAATCTGGCCTCCATCGTTCTCGAATACGTCGAAGTTTATCGGGTTCTTCAAATTCTGGGAAACCAAAATTATCTAATAAATTCATAAAGTATACTTGATGTGTAACCTAAAATAATGCACGAAAGATAAACAGACATTGAATTTTGAGAAATCAAAAGGTGTTACTTTCGCCAAACTTTATGATGTACATGATTAGCAGACGCTGGTACAATTTTTAAATGTTACTAGCAAAACTGTCTGTCTGATAACCATGGTCTGGATAAAATATAATTGGTTGTAATGTGTAGAAAACTATTTAGTCACAATACATCGTAAACAAATTATTTGACTATTGATCTAAACCTCATCACCAAAGATAGGCTTTGTGGTTGTGGCCTGAGCATCAGTCAAAACTAATGATCCTATGACTGTCGGTCATATGACCCAAAGTCTATCAAATTGCTGTAGATACATTCATGTGAACATTCTAACCATAGTATGATATTTCATTATTTTGTTTTTGTTCTATAGCTTTCTGTGGATTTTGAGTACATTGTTTTTATTTCTCTGTCGTATATTTTGTGCGTCAACATGATGGTATGAAATGTGGCAACTTCAGCTTTTACGCAGGAATTCCACGTCTTCTCTTGAGAATGATTGGCTCTAAAATAAGAACCAAAAGTTAACCTTCTCCATGATTTTCCCCTTCACAAAATGGTGAGAAGTGAAAGAATTTTTGAACGAGCTGTATTCCTATTTTTTATAAGTAGACCTACTTATCTCATGAATTTGTAAGTGGACACCAAAATTTAATAAATGGATGACCCAGTCACAAATAAAAAGATATGATTCACCTCATCAGTTTTTAATATCATTGTGCTGAAATGCGCCTCAAGATTTTGCTTTTACGTTGGATGCTTTTTTCTTGTCGTAATCACAATATTCTAATCATGATATCGAAACATGAAATTTGATATATATATATATATATGGAGTATGGAGATATCCAAATGGTGTTGAAGGATTATGATGAAATTGTGGAGTTGGTGAGGGCCAAGATTCTGGAATAGGTAATGGTGCTGAAGACGCCTTAGGGAAAATCGACTGAAAAAAGGAAATGAAGACCTCGAGCAGCACACAGTAGTCCTACATATAGATGATAGCATGAAAGCCCCATGTTTCCTTTGCGATAGAATGAGGCACTAATGTGAGTTTTAGAGTGCTAAACATAATTACTGGCTTGAAACCATGTACAATGCCAACAGTGGTTGAGACATTGAATCAGTTGCAGAAAGCCACAATGTTCACATTATTGGACTTATTTTCGGGCTGCTGGTAATTACTGATAAAAGAATGTGATCGAGAGAATACAGCTTTCATTGCTGGGTGGAAACATTATCAGTTTAAATGGATGCTGTTTGGATTTGCAGGAGAACCATTTACGTTCAGCTGACTGATGCTCTTATCATCTCAAAACTCAAGGAATCTAGTAGTGCTTCTATTTTGATTTGGTGGCCGGGCTTGTATATCACGATAACCCAACGAGCTGTGATGGAGGAACGCGTATTCCCTCAAGGCCCTACTATACCAGAAACGTCTGTTGGACAGTGATTAGATAAAAGGCAGTTACCCTTACCCTTAGCATGTTCTAAAACAATGAAATGATGCATCATGATGGCTTAGGTTGGTGTCCGCTTGTTAGTGGTAATTCAAGATCACAGAACGTATGTCCGACCACACATTCCATAATACAGGCCAATTTTCATGGCGTCAAAAAGGCCGTACGTGTCTGGCTTCTATCAGATGCCCCCTAAGATCTGCTATTGCAAACTAACCTTTTTTTTCAGGTACCTCAAGGAGACGAAGTCTTCCACGGTGTGTGCAGCTGAGAAGTGTCAACTGTCCTCACGACTCTGTCAGCACTCGTTCCCTCAAACCACTATTCACATCTCCAATCCTCACCTTCTTATCTTCCTCCACGTCTCTACGTTAACAGTCCTACAGCATGGCAATTTAGTTGGTTTTGACTAGCAGAGGAATCCAGGACTCACCTTTCGTCCTATTTGGGACTCGTCAGCTAGATGTACCTGCACCCCAGTGAGTGATGTTGTTCCCGTTGGGACTCGAACCTGGTACCTATCGCTTTAAACGCCAAGGCGTCATCCACAATGCTACAGGGGACGACAGCTACTTCTTGTACATCGGGTAGTAGTCATTACTATTTATTTGTATACTTGTAGTTCTGCGTTGTTTTACTGGACCTAATTGTCCTACCTCTATCGGCATATGGGCTCCTATGCGAATGCCTCAATACTGCCTGGATGTCAATTATGGCAACTTGGTTGTGGCTAGCAGAGGAATCCAGGATGAGCGTTTCGTTTTATTTGGGACTCGCTAGCTGGATGGACACAGATAGACCACATTGCTGTCAGCCGTCGCTGGAGAGGATCGGTGGGAGAGTGTCTCTCCTTCTGGATCACTTGTTTGGGCAGCAACTACGCCTTGATTCGAACACGTATATGTCTGCATTTCAATGGAGGTAGAAAAACTTCAGCAACAAGACCACTATGAGTGCATCGCGACAATGAGAGCACTAAGTCCGCTTTCATTAAGAAACAGTGGTTAAAAAGAATCAGTGGATATCAGCAGCCTCTTCTGAACTAATGGACACACGTAGACTCGTCCCCATAGGCTCTGAATACAAAGAGGGTCGAACGCAACTGAAATGTAGACTGACAAAACATCTACACAATTTCCGAGAACGGTGGTGGGTAGCAAAGTCTAAAGAGATGGAGAAGGCAGTGGCGATAGGTAACAGCAGGAAATTATTTAGACTGGTTAAGGAGACTGGGGTGAAGATGGAGACGCTGACAAGATGCAGAGGTTTCTATACACCTTGAGTTGCAATCTGAGAATGTCTGGGATAGGTTTCTCGCTAACCAAGTATAAACTGTTGTTGCTGGACTGGTCTACGACGGTACCGCTACTAACAACAGAGAGTGAAGTGGTTGAGTGCGTTGAACAATTTACTTAATTAAGAGGTCGGATCAGCCGTGGTGGGTCAGTGGCCGACGGAATCGTTGCAGGTTTACAAAAGGTTCGGTTGGTTTATGCTAACTTACGTCATCTGTGGTGCCGCCGCGATATCTGACTGTCTATTAAGGATCGACTGAACTGTACTGCAGTGCACTCTGTTATACTGCATGGCTGTGAAAGATGGAAACTAAAGGTGGAAGAACTGAGAAGGCTTAAGGTGTTTGGCCACCGTCGCCTTGATAACATAGGCAATGTTTCGTAGTGTCACTACGTGAGTAATGCGGAAGTCAGACGTAGAGTTTTAGGCAGGTGAGCTAGGTCGGCTGATGATGTTTTGAACCTTCATTGGCCGTGTTGGCTGCGACATGTGTTACGTATGCCTATCCATCATCTGCCTTGTTGTGTTAATGTCGGGGGAATTAGGTTCAAGCTGGGAAAAGGCTAGTGGCATCAGTGCATGAAGTCATTGTCTGTCGGTTTGCACCATGTACGGGGATGCAGGCTAGCCGGCTGGAGACTTTGGGACAAGAGAAACCAGTGGTTAGATGATGAGTGATGATAATGAGGTGCATAGTCTATCTGACAAAGATAATTTAAAACGTACACAACTTGTTCTGAAACTGACTGCGGAGTTTGGAGTACGTGCGAAGAAGAATGTTAAGTTTTGAGGCCATAAAATGAAAGATAATGAAATAAATTTACTACCTGGGAAAATTCTTTTCATCAAGAATATTGCGGTTATGAGCTCTAAAGAGAAACTGAAACAATATCTAGGAGCAGCAGCCTTTTACAGTCAGTTCATTAAAAACGCCAGCTAAACAGCCAGTCTGCCATATAAACCATTTGGAAAAGACAAAATGTTTGCGGAATAGGTAGTATACTGCTACAGAACGGACTTGTTTAATATATTAGTCATGCATTGACGCCAGCAAAACAGATATTTTCAAAAGTTGACAAAGAATGCTTGGTAATCTCCTGGGCATTAGAAAAATGAAGAATTGTGGTTTCATATTGGGATGAATCACAAGCCTCTGCAGTGGCTGCAGATGGCGTGATACCACATTAGGAAACTAGCATGATAGACTTCACGCCTCGTGCAGTAAGATTTTGTATTTGATCTCGTCCAGTGAAAGGGGAATATGGTGGTGGACTAACTCTCAAGATCCCAGAAAACAACTGAATTGTCAGAGATGGTATACAGAGTTAACACCGTGGTAGAGGATAAACTTGAAATCGAGCACTATCAGAAAGGGGTCCAACCCTGAAAACAGTTGTTCAATCGATAGTGGAAGGAAATGATGTTGAAGAAACTACGACGGACTTGGAGTTAAAAGCCGTCCTGATGTTAGAAGATAATCTGAGAGTGAATGTCTGTTGTACTCTGACTTGGCTAGAGGACGGAAGGAGCCATATATCCGTAATTTCAAAAATCCTACAACAAGAAGTAATCCACGAGTGTCACCATCAGGCACATACAGGAGTTACGAGAATAGCTGATCACTTACTGCAGAGTGACTTTTGGACGGGAATGTGGAAAGACATTGAAAAGTAGGTACTGATGTGCCCTTAGTTCCAATTAATGGAGAGGAGTCAGTGCAAAGGTCAAAGTTGCGCTTGTTTCCTGTTGCAATAGTTGGTGGTCCATAGACGCAACTGGACTAACTGCTTGGACACCCAGTAGTAACGGTTACCCTATAATAATGACAGAACACGCAAAATACTGGATGAACACCGTGGGAATTCTAGAAGGTTGAGGAAAAACAATTAATTTGGCTGTTATCCAACAGACTGTTAAAAACCACGTTGTTTCGAAGACGATATTAACGAGTCAGACCCTATATTTTGAGAGTAAAGAGTTCACATTCCTGTTGCGATGGCTGAATATCGAAAAAATAAGAACGACTCCTTTCCGTCGTCAAACTAATGAACTGATAGATAGAAATAACCGTACCCTGAATGGAGGCAACTAAGAAGCAGAACTTTCATTGATCTTATTAGCGTGTTATGCATCCGTGTAGGGAAAAATGAAGGAATCACCATTTCAGCTAATGTATATGATGAGAAAGACTAGACTGCTAGTGCAGAGTAAGACCTAACGGAAACCAGCACGATGGAAGTCTACGCGACTAAGAATGGAACAAAGGTAAGCTATCCATAATACCAAAGTAATGGAAAAGGCAGATTCGTTAAAAGTCGAGTAGAAGCAAAGAAGGAAACGGAAACCTTTCGAGGTAGGAGATTCTGTGAAAAGGAGGACACAATAGTGCATGGCAGAAGGTGAACCAGAGTCAACAAAATTGCTGCCAAAATGTGAAGGCTTGTATATAGCGACGAGCCTGTACATAGTGGCCCAGTTTATACAATCAATAGAGACAATAAGGAAAAATATCTGAACGACAGTCAGCCCAGGAAGTGGATGCTAGTGCAGAAGGACGCAGAGTTCGAAACTATGCAGAAGAAGACACTTATAAGATGAATATCAGAGTGATGGAAACATTCTTCTAAAAGGAGGATGAGTCTAGTGGGAGTTACTTATGAGTAGCTTTGATATTGCGCATAAGTATCACAACTTCAGTTCTTTCAGTATTTTTTCCCTTAAAAAATGATTGCTGTTAGCTGTACTTCCTTGGATCATGTTCCTACGGACTAAATAAGGTCTTATATATCGATGAACACTAGCGAAAATCATCAAAACTCAATTCCTTTCCAAAGCGTTTTGTACTAGTTCTTAAAGTTGAACAATGTAATGCCGCTTCTCTGTAACTCGAGGACCTTGACACAATAGCTGAGATACATTGTATTTCAATCAAAATTATTCATTTGAAAACCGAAACTTATATATGATATGACGATGATATTATATTGGTTAAGTAGTTTTGGTAGAGGGCTATAATTATTAAGTGAGATGGAAGTCACATATGAGGATGGTGACAGAATTTATGAGAAAACATAGATTCTGTGCAAGTTAAAAGCGTATTGCTGTAATCGTTAGGTAACGAATAGCTTTTATTCCTTTTGAAGAGACTTTCTCAATTGAGAGATTATTATCTGGCACATACGTCTCAGAAGATACAATGATTAGCTGAGACTCATTTCTGTTGCGAATTCTGTGTATCAATTAAATTTATGATTTGGTCCTTTTACATAAATTTCCTCATCATTATCATATTTATGTGTTCATATTTATCTTAATTTCAGGATACATGCTTTACACTTTTATTGTATTTATTGGATGACTTCTGAAGTTTAAGGTTTGCATTTTAAAGTATGCAGACCTTTGCTCGTTTGAAACAGCAGGCTGAGATTAGCTTATACGTAACTGGAAAAAATGCAATGTAACCATTTAATTGCAGAGAATTTTCCCTGTTTTGAAGCTGAAATTACTGTATGTTTTCCGGGTGGATAAAACGTAAAAGTATGAGTAAACATTCGATGATGTAGTTCTAAATTTCAGCTTTGGAATACTGCTTAAACTTGGTAGGCGTTTAGAGCCCGTAATTTTCTGTTAAGTTATATTGATGAATTATTATACTCGATGCCCATACAGTGAAACTGTATATAACAAAAATAATGCAGATGAAGAGAAGAAGGAGAAATTCTATAAACGACTGTAACCGATAAAGGACAAGACCATAACCCAGTTGGCATCAAAATTCTAATGGGTGGGGTGAAATGAAGGCCAAACTGGGAGCAGACAAAACTTGATGCAGGTTCAGACCATTCACTACCTGGTGCAAGGAACTCACCTACCTACCTACCCACATTAAAAATCAAATTGAAAGCCTTCAAACAAGTTGGTGATAGATAGATCACAGTTCGAGTTGAACAACCAGAACAGACACCGAACTGAAGGACGAAACTACAAACTACATCTTCACGTCAGTCAGTCAGTCAGTCAGTCAGTCAGTCAGTCATCACGACAAAATACGAGACATTGAGCAACATCCCTGAAGTAGCCTGAGTCGAAGAACACTGGAACTCTTTGAAAGCTATGTGGAAGGAAACCTGCATAACGGTACCAGGAAGGGGGGAGAGGTGGCAAGACAAGGAATGGATCTCGACAGACACATGGGAGCTGATAGAGGAGGGAGAGGGAGAGGGAGAGGGAGAGGGAGGGGAAGATGGTGAGGCAGAAGATGAACAACCAGGGGAGTGCAGGGATGAACAACGAAAAGAGGAATTGAACGCAGCCCACAAAACACTACACTGGACAAAGAAGTGAAGAAGAGTGTGTGCAAAGACAAAGAATGCATCTACGACATACTTGCAAGTGAAGCAGAATAGGCTGAGAGACAGAGAGAGACAGAGACTTGACAACACCAGAGGAAACGATGGGTTGACCACTTTCGAAAACTGTCGAATCGACAACCAGCACCACCATCACCTGCAACTCGTCCAGAAATACCACGAGCAGCTCAGCCACGAAAAAACTATCAGTGAACACAAAGCCTCCGACAAAAGCAGAAGTGAAGTCATGAACACCATAAAACTGCTGAAATGTGGGAGAGCAGCAGGACCAAATGGAATTCCTCCAGGAGCACTGAGAACAGAAGCAGAGACAACAGTGGACATGCTCACACCACAACACACAACACCACACCACTACTGTAGAAGGTTAGGAGGGAGTGAAGTGAAGTGAAGTGAAGGTAGGTGGGAATAGATTGGGAGAAGGGCAAACCTTGTCAAACTGTCAAAGAAGGGAGACATAAGCCATTTGCATGAACTGGTGAGGAATCATGCTGCTGTGCACCCGAGGCAAAATATTATGCGGCATCATGCTAGATAGACTTAAAATTGTTCTGCACTCAAAATTACGAACAGAACGGGCTGGTTGACTTCAGGAGAAACAAATCATGTGCGGATCAAAATGCCACGTTACTCTACGCATCATCATTGAACTGAGTTTAGAATGGCAGTCAACTCACAACTGCACCTCAGCTTCATTAACTTTGAAAACGACAGTGGGGATGAAAATACCCAATCAGCCACAACAGCAGCAACAACAATCACCAATCAGCATCAGCGGGAGAAAGCTGAAGGAAGTTTTCTCTTTCTCTTACCTAAGCGAGCCAGTATCATCCCAACCGCAGGCAGCGCCATAGATGTGGAGGTCAAAGCAAGGGTTGGAAAGACAATAAAACAGGCCTTCTTGCATTAGTCTGAAATCAGTGTGGAGATCTACTACACTCCACTCAGTATATGGCGTGAACGAGATTCGGATTTTCAACAACAATGTCAAGTCATTTCTTCTATTTGATAGTTCAGAAATTCGGTGCATAACGAAAAGCATTTCCAACAAACTGCAGATATTCTTCAACCGCTGCCGCCCACACTCTATACTGAGGATGAGATCAAATGGCCAGAATAATAAGAATAAGCAACAAGCAACTCTGGCTGGCTGCCTGGCTGGCTAGCAACAAACCAACTAAGTACCCATCACCCAACAAATATGCAGAGGGAAGTGTAGATGGATTGGATTAGGCATACACTGAGAAGACGATTCTGGGACATCGAGCACCAGGTCAGTCCGTCAAGTTGAACCCAAATGGGAAACGACGAGTTGGGCGTCCCAGCTGAGGGTGACATAGAGGAGATGGTGTGAGGAATAAATGGGGTGGGGTGGCTTGTGGGCGGTCGTGGTGCCAGGTTGAGCAGACCGCAGAGTAGCGAGTGCAATGAATGCGTGCTACTGAAGCCCTATGTTCCACTAGGAATTTAAGGGATAAATAATAATAATAATTATATGTGACATATTGGGCTTTAATCTTCCCACTAAGACTCAAAGTTTGCCTCCATTACTTCAAATGTCACGGAGGTTCTAGTGGATATTTTTATTAACTAATTACTATCTGGTGAAGATTATATTTTAGGACTCTCTCTGTTAACGCTAAGCCTGCTACTAGGTAATAACATACTTAAAGCGAACCCTAAATGTAATAATGCAGTGTGTAATTCTGCTTGCTGATTTTCGATTTGAAGTGGTTTTGGTTGGCTGAATAGTCCTCAAGTACGATTGAAATAATCGAAGTCTGTACACCTGAAGAATGTTGAGGTTAGTAAGAGTGGCTTTGAGACTACCAAACGCAATAATTCTACTTGGGTTTTCGTTGAAACAAGCAATTGAGGGATTTTTATAACTTTTTTGGCGGTTGTTTTTGACTCCACTGACTAGTGTGTTCCAGCTGTGTGAAGATATATATGCATGCAAATGTGTAACAAATACGTTTCATTTTACACCATATTAAGAAACAAAGAAAAGATGTAGAATCTAAAACTAACAATAGTGATAAAGTAGTATAAAAATTATGCCAAATCCTTATTTTCATCATTTCTTCTTGAATGACTTTATAAATGAATGACCTAGCTTTTGAAAGGATTTATTGTTTAGCTTTTGTTATCTTTAATTAAAAAGTTACCTGTTGTATCCACACTTCAAACGATAGTTTCCATCTCTGGGGTTGTTGATCATGGAGATAGGCATTAAAAAGTATAAGAAAAAGTATTTCTCCAAGTAAGCGAGGCTTCTTTTACGAAGTTTCAACTTCTTTTCTTGGTCAGTTTCATCTCTTGCCTAGAAATGAAAGATTTTCACCAATATAACATTGTATTTAGTTTTTCTGAAAACTTTTCAGTGAAATGTAGTTGATATTACTTTCAGGAATTTAAAACAATTATTTTTCTCTGTAAACGTTGACGAACCAATAAGACGTAATTTATCTCGATCTTAACGCGTATTTTCGCAACATATTTCGAACAACCTGTATATTGTTTTGGCCTTTAGTTTTTCTACTTAACCTCTTTTAATATTCTTTCGCCTTATCTCTTTATAACTATTCATATAAATACCTCTGACAAGCATATGTGTTCAGCATGTCTTGAACAAATGCATTACACTGTTCAGACAGAATACTTCTTTCTATTACTTTCATCAAATTAGTACTTTCATCAGTAAAGTGATTAGTGAAACTGGATGATCTTTGAGATTACAGTTCCCAGATTCTTTAGTTCCAAAAAATTCGATAGGTCATTCCGCTTCTTGTGATTTACTTTCGTTTTTGACACGACTTGAATACTGCATGTATTCTGAAGTTAATTACTTTTTTATGGATCACCAAACTAGATAGGCAAAACAGACGAAATCTTTGTGGTATTTCACTTCCAGTAAAACAACTGTAATACCATGTCCTTGAATGTAAAGTACTTATAAGGTATTACACATTGGTGATTCTGTGAACGATTTGTCTGCTAATTCGAAACTGTAATGAAGGGATAAGCGACTATAATTGTGGATCCTTTGCTTGTACCAAAAAAAGGCAGACTGTAAAGTGGTTCAGAACGCGGAATAAACACTACCTACAATAAACCTACATTCTAAACTGTTATGCTGAATTAGGCTTCTTTATGGCACTTATTCTCCCGGAAGCACGCACATTTCTATCGTTTTCAAGAAATTTAGCCAAACTGATGAAATCACAAGTCTAGAAACTCAAAACAATATTTTTCTCAGTATCTGTAGTGTAAGCCACAGATTCATCAGGAAAATCTTGTTTCAAGATTTTTAGACAAGCTGGGATTATATTTGATAATTGTATAACGATTCTTTCACATGGCTTTAAAGTTTTTCCCTGATATTCACGTCACCTACCGTCTGGATATTTATAAAGGTTTAATAAATTCATCCTAAGCAAAGATCCTCTACTGAGTGAACGAGAAGAGAAACATTTTTTTTCATTTGTACCCTTTAACATAATTTCATAAGAGCTTCGCCCATTGTCGGTCCTACTTCCTCAGTATATTATTAGTATTATGAATTATGCTGCCCGTGAAAGAACACGCTATTCTATTCTCACTAATAAGGAGAATTTCTCCGCAATTAAATGAGTTATTCAAGAGGAAAGGTTTAAAGTACCGTAACTGACTCTTAGGATGTATCAGTTTCATTTCCATAAGTCATTAGTAAGAGTCTATTTTAGCTTGAGAAAAGCCTTAGAACTTTCCGATTATGTTGAAATTCCAGTTTTTAATACCTGACTGTTGTAGTTATCCATCAGTTTCTGAAAGATATCTGACACCAGAAGGGGGTCATCACAGAATCTAGTCATTCAGGAATCAAAGAGAAAGATATTTTACCTAATTTGCAAACTTTCTGATGGAAGATGTGAAAATATATTTTGGGTTGCAGTCAAAGAAACGGATATCGTAGGACAAAAGTAATCTGTCCTTACGTTAAAAAAAGGGTGAACTGAATATCCCAGATGTATAAAAGTGGTAATGATTGAATAAATTTATTGCATTTTAAAACATACTTTAACGTAAGTAAAGTAAATTTCTTCTCTCGTATGAAAATGCATCATGGACATTGATTCATAGCATCTGTCCAAGACGTAGTCCACTTCTCGTTTCAGTTGATGTCCTCTAGGTAACATACGGATTAACCGTCCAATAATCTGCAATTTTAAGGGATTTATATCATTCCACCTTTTGGAAAATGGGAAGTGCTTATAAACGAATCAACGTTTCTGTAAATTTGGCTAAAAACTTTTAGGCGAAACTAATTATGTCAAAACCTTTTAATAATTTTATCAGGAAATAAATTTTTACACCCATATATTTCACTTCATGCGTTTCTTTAGTGAATGATAAGCTTATTCGGTTTAAGTGTACGTGAATGTCTTGTCAGTATGTCCCCACAGGGTTAAAATATTCTAAGCGTAGTTTTCTTCACGAACTAACCTCGGATGAAGAACTATTAAGAACCTGAGAGCACTGCTGACTCACGTTTGGTTGGTATTCTTGATGTTCTAATGAGAAGCTGAATATATCTAGAACCACCTGGATGCCTTCAGGTGATATCGAACGATGTTTGAGCTGTTTTGTAAATCAATATTAATATGGAGATGTAAACCTTTGAATTCAAACCCAGTGGCTGAGTGGAAATATGTTTGCTTCAAAACCTGAATGTCCTGGGCTTGATCCCACGTTGAGTCGTGAGTGCATGATGCTGTCAAGTCCCTTGCTGGAAAGAAATAGCTTACCAGGTTTCTAGTGGTTCTCCAAGTAATGTCAGTCTCTAAGGAAAGCAACGTTCAAAAATAAATTCCTACAGACTAAAAACAGAATGAAAATTCTTATACTTGAATGTTTTATGGCAAGTACAATTTATCCAATTATCAAAATTTTAGAAGTTGATTATGTAACTCATAATTATTTTATTCACAAATATATAAGATTGGAATGTAGAAAATTATGAAGTTTTCATTAATTACATTGTTTAAAATTAAACATTTCTTATCAGATCGAGTTTGGAAATTACATCTTGCAATCCGACTGCTCGGAATGATCACTTAAGAAAGCATGTAAAATCTTGTTACAAAATACTTCGTTAAGCTCTTTATGCCTCATCCTTCACTGCTGTAATCCCCTCAGAGTTGCGAAATTGATGTCGCCTTGCTCTTTCGCTTTTATGAACATAATTTCAATGATTTAAAAAATTGACATTGAGCTTATCTATAATTAATGATACCAAATAGGTGACAGGAAAAATATGCTGACAATTTAAAGTTCCATGCTAACATGAAATCAGAATTTAATCTCACCTCTCTCAACTCACAGAAAGCACTTTCAGAATAATCACGAGACTGAAACACAACTGTGGATAGACAGTAAAATTTTGTTTGTCATTGTTTGCTAATGTTCGTATATTTCACAAACAGTATTCAGTGCAGCAAGAATAAAAAAGAATTACGAGGGGGCGAAAAGCGTTTTTCCTTCGGAAATGTAAACTCGTTCAACAGCCAAATTAACATACCATGAATCAGTATGTAAATATTTCACTACATGCAAGAGCAATGTTATGTGTAATATACTGTTCATTTAATAAAGAATGTAAATATTCATTTGTATAGTGAACTTTCGTAAACCGAAATCCGTACCAATGGTTTTAAAAAGGTGTGACTACAAGTGAATCATGTTGAATGGTAACATAAAATGACTCATTTTCGTACATCTAATACTGGATTCAGGAAGTACAAACCATGTGCGGATCAAATTGCAACGCTACACTATGCATCATCATAGAACAGAGTACAGAATGGCAGTCAACCCTCTACCTCAACTTCATACACTTTGAAAAGGCCTTCGACAGCCTCAACCGACAAGCAATTTGACAAGCAGCTACTTCAACTCTACCGAATACCACAAACCTTTACCAATCTCATTCAACAACTATATGAAGACACCACATGCCAGCCAAGTAATTCACAATGGGAAGCTCAGCTCAGTGATGCTTTTGAAGTGAAGACAGGAGTGAAACAAGACTGCCCACTATCATCCATGATATTCCTGATTGTGGTCGATTGGATCGTGCAACAAACAGTGAGTAGCTGTGAGAAGAGGGGGATACGTTGGACTGCGTAAACAACCTAGAAGACTTGTATTCCGCCAACGATGACTTGTGTCTGATGTCACACAAACTTGAAGATCTACAGGCGAAAACTAACAAGTTGACAGAAGAGGCAGCGAAGATGGGACTACCTTCAGGTGGTTGTGGAGGAGACAGAGGTGATGAAGATACCCAACCAACACCACTGCCACCACCACCACCACCAACAACAACAAGCTCCAATCACCATCAACAGGAGAAACTTAAAGGAAGTAGCCTCCTTCACCTATCTAAGAGAAGCAGCACTGTTTCAACTACAGGCGGCACTGACGAGGATGTCAAAGTCAGAATCGGAAAGACAGCAAGACAGGTGTTCATTAGCCTGAAACCAGTGTGGAGGTCTACTGCACTACACTCAGCATGTTGAACAAGATCCGGATTTTGAACACCGACGTCAAATCAGTGCTTCTGTATGGCTCAGAAACTTGGCGCGTTACGAGAAGCACTTCGAACAAACTACAGACATTCATCAACAACTGCCCACACTGGCTGGTTACTGAAGCTGAGATGACCAGAATAATAAGAATGAGCAACAAGGAACTCTGACTGGCAACAAACCAACCAAGAAGCTATCACCCAACAAATATGCATTGGAAGGAGATGGAGATGGATTGGGCATACACTGAGTAGGCCGGCTGGGAACATCACGCGTCAGGCCAGACTCTCTAGTGGAACGCAGGTGGGAAACGACGAGTTGGGCGTTCGAGGTGAGGGTGACATAGAAGAGATGGTGTGAGGAAGAAATGAGAACTTGTTGGCTGTCATGGAACCATGTTCGAAAGATTTCGGAGAAGAGAGTGCAGTGGAGACGTGCTACTGAAGCCGTATGTTCCATTAGGAACTCAAGGGACAAATAATAATAATAACAATGACAATAATAATAAATGAGTACATCTAAGGAACATGAGAGTGGGTGTGCTAGTTTCATAAAACACAAATACCGATTCAAGGTTGACTGAAAAACAATCTTTGGCAAATTTACTTTAGCACTTCATAGGATAAAGCGATGCGCGATTCTATGCTGTAAGAAACTAACTGTTTCCTTACATTATTACATTAAGGATGCATATAGGTTGGACACAGCTGACGATAAGCCTGTGGATTAAAAGTCTATTGTGTTACTCTGAAAATGTTTTACTGATTATGCTGCTCAAGTTAATACAAAAACAGTGAATTTTGGAGCGAATCAACTAGGAATCTTATTATTTAAGTGTGAATGTATAAAAATCAGTTACTTCATTTGGAATTACCTGTCAATACCAAGAACATTATGGTGGCGCTGAATCTTCACTACTAACTGGAATTATTTTGCATAGGTAATCCATTTGACTAAGCTATATTCTTCGTCTAACTTATGGTAAAGTTCATTTGATGACAATAATGAACTCCACAAAAAACAGCACAAAATTATTTCACTGTATCACCAAATATATGTACAAAAAAGGGTATCTACTTAAAATGAATTATTTCACTAGTTAAGTCATTCATTGAAATGATAGTATTTACCTAAGATTGTTAAGCTTTTGATGATTAACTATTGAAAATGACTTACCTCTTTAAACTATTTATTTTGATGGTGTATATTTACTGATAAGGAAGGGAAACCTTGTCACAGTACCTCGAAAAGTGTAACATTGAAAATAGAGTTTGGAATTAAAAAGATTTACTTATAACAGTTGAAAGCTAGGTTCAATTCAATTACTTTGTGACTGAAACAAATTTATTTTTCCACTACAAAACTCAAAATATTTATAACATCGTATTCCTGAAGAAGTGATTAACTTCTTCCAGATTATTAAACTATTGGGAGAAGTAACGGGATAGACGGAAACTACAAACCATGTTGGTTGTCATTTAGTAGCGTTTAATGTCTATTTCTTTGAAGATATTCAAAAATCTATTCGTAAATCAACCATAAGCAGCATTCATGGATCTAAGCGTGTAAACATGAAATTTCGTTTTTACTTCTTGACATTTTCGTCTTCAAAAGTCTATTTAGATAAGAACTTAATTTACCGACTTCCATTAAGTCCGCTTGAGGTAGCCCATTAGTGATCTCTGCTGTCATCTAACACAGCAAGTGTTTACGACTACCACTTCTTATCAGTTTCCGAAATTGTTTATGACCATTAAATATGTATAGATTTTTATCTTATCAGATTATAAACTTACAACAAATTCGCCTTTAGTATACTTTGCGTCACGTAATGAAATACGCTCCTCCTCTTCAACTCGATATCCAAACATAAATCCAAACAGATGACAATAAACAAGGCCTGCTATTGACATGGCTAGACTTGTTCGTTCCCGGCCACTTTCACAGAAGAATAATAAATTCGTTACAGCTACTTTATTTAGCAATGTATTGGATGGACTTGGTAAGTGTAAATCTTCTTTCATAGTGGGATTGAAAACTGATCTCCTTGCTGACCTGGTAGCATACGTTTGTCCACTGCAGGCGTGTTTCAATGAAAGTGATGCATTAGCACTCGCCAAAAGACCACGAGCATTACTGAGCATCAAACGAAGTATGTGATCAAAAATCTGAATAAAATAAAGCATAAGGAGTTAAAAATAATGGACTACCATTCCTATATTAATCAGAATTTCTCATCTATAAAATTAATGTTGTTAGAGATAATGATATTCGACAAAACAGTACACTAATCTTTTCATATATGAGAGAATGAAGGATATTTCCAGCTCTGGAGGATTATTTTGATGGTGTTGTGTTTTCTGAACTTGATGGTTTAGTTGTGGAACTTTCATTGTCATTCCAGACAAAGTCAGCTTAAAACTTCGGGAAAAAGTGAGCTATGAGATTTCCTCCGCAAGTGGCTTAGTAGCTTATCCTGGTGGCCTTGTGTGTAATTTGTTGTTTCTGCTAAAATTTTGTCTGCATCCGTATCTTCATTAGTTTTCCTGCTGATGTGAACTTTGACCTCCTTGGTGTTCATTATTGGTTGGCCGATTAAGTCAATGTGAATGTGTGTGTTGATCTTTGACTAACCCGAGTGCCATGCTTTTAAAAACTTTGCATCTTCTCCGTTCAGGATTTCCAAATATTCCCAGCCAAATTCATCTCCACTATTGTCTATATGTACTCATATGAGCGTTGATGTATCATGACGTTTCACTGCTAGTTAATGCTCATGTACACGGATACGAAGAGGGAGACCAATCAGTTAAATTTGATATTTTTTCTCAGTTTCTGCGGTTGATTTTGTACGTAATGTTTGTCTTGTCTTCCTTTACTGTTGTGTCTTCTGACCTGCATAATTCAAAGTGGAGTGATTTTATTGGCTTTTGGGTTGCAAAGATTCCGAAACGCTTCGGTAACTTAGTTACAATCACGGATACTTTCATCATGTAAAGTTGGACGATCCGCTTTTTGGTTTTCAAGTGTGACTTTAAGTTGACACCAAATCCGACAAACACATTTTGATGAAATTGTATGGATAGCCATATTTCTGAAAAACAGTCATTAAACAGTTTTTTTCGTTTCTCGACAAGGTTGATGAACTTGTCCCATACCAGGATGAAAGAGGTATCCAGTACTCTCGGGTTTCCAATTTTTCTCCAACTGATGTCCATGAAAAATAACGTCCTGAAACCCAATGGAACTAGTTAGTCAATAAATTGCTGAAATGCAATACTAAAAGGTTTTATGACGCTTTAAGATGAATTCACATACGACTGTAAATAAATAAAAATGTCGTATTTGTATTACAGAGCGATTAACATTTCAGGACTTAAGTAATAGGGGAATAATATGGCACCATATCACCATCTTTTCCACCACACACTCACTTATAACCACAATAAACAGGCTGATTTTATCTAGAAAAAATCTCAAAATATTGTGATATCCAGTTGCTAAAATACTGTTTTACTACCGAATTCGTATGGAAATTTTATGAGTTTTATTACTTATTAAGAGTTTTCTGAAGTTTTGAAGCGAGAAACTAAAAGCCAAAGTTGAGTTCAGAAAGTTTATAGAAAAGTAATTATGGATGAATCACCTATTTCTCAGGATACTGATCATTAGACTAACCTTGTGCGTCGGTTCACGGCATAGTGAAAGTAAATCTCTTTTGATATGACTCAGAATATTTATTGCTCAGGTGTATGTTCTAGGTTATGTTGGAAACTGTGAACTGGGTGGTTGAATCTTGAAGTTTTCCATATCTTTGTCATGTTTTAAGAGTGATTTCCCGGTATTTTATCAAAGAAATTCAAATTCAAATTCTTCATTTGTTTTGAAATATACTAAAAAAATAATCCGTTGTGGCAAAACCTATTGTTATTGTAGGCATAAAGATGAACTTTTATTTCCCTTTATATGTTTGTGATCACTTTCAAGTAACTGCATACACTAACAAATTCACCTTGAAACTATGTAAATGCAGCCATATTTCTTTAACCAGCTGTGCTTGAAAGCCAAAAGAATTTTTTTGGAATAAATATCTAATCTACTTGGAAGTAGTAGCTTCATGTCCTTAGTTATTATTCAGTCATTTTTACACGTAAGTTATTGGTCGTTTCTGTACACCCAGCTTCTCATTGGATATAACTCAGACACATTTTATAGATATATATATGATATATTGGCTGTTTTCTTACATGATACTGACTAATTTGTTAGAAAAGTATTGTAAACACTTCACTCAGTGATACACTAGATAAAGTAGACTGTTATTGCCAGAATGTAGATGATACGTTCATCATTTGTGACAATAACTTTAGCAAAAACGATATTTTGTATATATACAGTAATATCTACCCAACTAAGCTGTTTAGCAGTGAGGAAGATCAGGGACGTTCTCTTCATCAGGAAGACAGATGGCTGTATACAGTATTTTAGTTTTCTTAACTTCACACTAATTCAATATAAATGAAACCCAGTCAAATGCTTGAAATGCGGAATAAAGATTATATGCTGTAATGACTGGATGGAAAAAGAAATGGAAAAGCTGAAGATAACATTGAAGTGAAATGGTTATGCAATAAATTTCACAAATAAATGTTGAAACCTAGAAAGGTGATAAAGAAGAATAACGTATCTCCACTTAGTGATATTACTTAGTTTTGGTAATATGTCGAGCGAGATTACAGCCCGTGATCACACCAATTGTTGGGATTATTTGGAACAAATAATATTACCTGAACTAAATAACACTGTTGTTTGTAAACATTCATTAAAAACATATTCCTAATAAGTTGATCCTTTCCATACTGCCCAAATTTTCATGGATATAAGGATGACGTGCCTAAGAAACCTTTATGTCTTAGACTAAGTTTGAAAGATGATATCGCTTCTGATAGCTTAACACGCAGGTTGAGTAGATCAGTTGAAATGACATTCATTGCAACGAAACATTTTGTCAGTTTCTCAACCAAACCATTACTGACCCATCAAAGGAGCGCCCCCAAATAAGCAGAACTATGCCACTTATCTGTAGCCGAAACCATCGAATTCAAAAAAGAAAACCGGGTCTATTTGTTCAAAAGAGGTATGTACATCCACTTTGTCTCTTTTTGGCCTACAATAAGGCCAACATGTTCTGTATTAACCTTCCCGCCAAAAATTTCACATTTCAACCTCCTACCCCTTTCTTCCTTTTCGTCTGTCACTTCATTGATAAACATTCATTTTAGGTTATTCTATCCATGATTTTGCTTATTACTACTATTATCAGTAAGCAAATTTAGTCCTTATATAACATCTGTTATCTCGCTATCGTATTTACATGATTATTCATCCTTCATGAATATAACTAATCGCTACATAATCACTATTTGATCCTTATTAAACAAATATATACATTCATACCCCAGATAGATTAACACAAATGAATCATTTTCTCTGGGACTTGCCTCATTATATGGTGATTTTCCTTTTCTTATTGATTTCACTGCACAACTAGTACACTATACTGATTACTACTCTCCCTGGTAAAAGCTTACATCCATGTGATTCGGTCACAATTCACTCATAACACTGAGTGCATCAATAGTGAAATAATTTTACGCTATGCTTTATATTAGCTGTTGTATTTCACCTATTCTAATGAATTTATAACTGTAAAGTCTGAAGAGGAAGTTACTGAAAGTAACTGTTCACTGAAATTATTCTTGTTCTTAATATTCATTGGGGATCACAATCATCTGTTAAATTTTTATTAGGCTGATAGTAACTGATGACACTTAGATCTTACTGTCTAGAATCTGAGGATAAAGAAGCTAAAAGCTGAATTATCAAGTCTTATTCTACTCCGAGCAGTTCTTTGTAGCTCAGTATTTGCTTCTCATTAGAAATGAAACTAGAGAAATCTCTTTAGGTGAACTGCTTCTTTCAATAACTGCATGTTATATCAACACAGAAAGTTACTACTCAACTCGAAGAAAGATACAAAGTATAACAAAAGACTCCACGTTTTTTAGAAGTAGCCTTGATAAAATTTACAGTTTTGTTTCGGACTACTTATGGTCATAAGGACATCAAGCATTGCAGAGTTTATTTGGATCACAGCCAGTGATCTTCCATGGATACGAGTTACTTAGCGACTGAGAATACAGGTATAATTTTAAAGATAGAAATATGTTGGTAAAATACGAATGGTGATTCCTTCAAATAGATTGCAACTAGTCTGTTAAATCTAACTAATTTAACTTCTCATTTTAATGCTTAAGTAAGGCTTATTAGCATCAAAAAATGCTACCCAATTCCATAGACATACAAGCCTTATTTAGCGGATATTCTAATGCTTGCGCGATCCCTGCCTATTAAATCCATTACGTCATAAAATCAGAATGCTTTAAATTAGGTGTTTATAAAATTTAGTGAACAGTACGATCTTACTCATGATAATTATCAACAAAGCTAATTTTCAATTTTGAAATACGGATGATCTTTCAGAGATTTTAAATTGTTATCAAATCTCGCAGTAACAGACGTCGTTGATGATTAACTCAGTGTCCAGGTGGTGAAGGCAGTGGTCACACTATATATATACAGTCAGGCAGGAAATAAGACTGTACAAGATGATGCTTTTGACCGCCCATTATTTTTGCAGTATATATATTTATATATATTTGGGTAAAATAATCTGTGGCTAATAGTGTTTTTCAGTGACTGGCGAACATTCCACTAATAAATACCTATTTGCAGTGCTCTATATTAACATGTATTTGTGTACCTGATCGCGAAAGTAACTTTCAACGGGCAAATGAGCTCTCACATTTCATCTATACAAACTAAACAATAACAATTTCAGTGTAGCATATTTTAATAGGAGAGTTCATTGGATGTATAAAAACGTTCACGCCCAGGTAAGTTAAAATACGAAAACAAATTCTGGGCTTTAAATACTAGTAAATTTATAAAAATGTCTGTAAAGGGGATGAAACGAATCAAAATATGGGCTAAGTTCTTGTAGTTGCTTGTTTTGAAAAATATGTGAGACAAATAGTCTTAAGTGTGTTGTGTATAGTTCAGGAAAACAGTATCAAGCCAACTGGTTGCTAAACACGTAGTGTAAATATTAAATGCATCTGAACCATGAGAAAAGGTCTTCAAAACTTTACCTGAATTTTCCCAACTGGTTTAAGTTTTCCCAAGTTTGAATGCTGGAATGAAACCTACATCTGACCGGTGAGTCGACACACTGATACTATTTGACCTATCATTAATGCTAGGAAGTTTTGTGTTCAGGCTGTCTCAATAATTTGTTGGTGAATCATTAGTTGAAATAAATAAGTATCTTACTTCCAGATAATAAGGTGGTGGAGATCTTATGAGAAACCAATATTTGGCTTCTACTTTACTCTAATTTTTATATTGAATAATTTCTACCAACAGCAGTCTTGCTGATGTTAGTTAGTATTGTCTAGAGTAGACAGTAAACACCTAGCATGAAAGTAGTAAGATGATTCCAGTGCTAGATAATGATCCTTAATTATCCCAAGGGAAGTAACATGTTAATGATTATTCAAGCTGCCATAAGGCTCATCTGCATATTCCCTGAGTATTGCTGCGTAGTTAAGGTACTGGTAAAATATTTTTGATGTTATAGTTGTTACAGCTATGACATTAAACAACACCCATTGCTCAAAGGCTGGTTCTTGTAACTCAGCAGTCTAGCGGGTTATGTATTGGCGTTTTAAGCGATAGATACTACGTTCGAGTTGCGATGAGAACAACATTCACTAGAAGGCATATTTATCTAGCTAACTTGTCCTAAATAAGAGGAAACTTGCTTTCTGGATGTCACCCTAGCCACTATCCATTATCAGTCTGATATATTGTTCATATGAAAAATATTAAACTTAAGTGTTGATATGAAACATAAAATAGTAAGTTACGTAACTTTATTCAGACAAAAAATGTTTTGTCGCTGTATATATAGCACAACGTTTTTCAGGAACATGTCAACCCTTATACATGTAACGGTAATGGTAATCTTTTATTCTTTCAGCTAAATGAGACATTAACCAAACTATCACTTGTAGTTTTGTAGATAGAAAACAAAGTGAAAACTATGTGCATATAGTTTTTTACAGGCCTTTAAATTGTAACTCACCTGGGATTTCATAATTTGAAGTGAAACATAAGGTAAGTAGATACTCAACGTCCTGTCTAGAATTATGAAATCATCGTTAACAAATCCCGGTCTATTTAGGCTCATTCCAAGTAGAAACATCTCGTTTTTCTCCTATTCTGATCTCCTAGATATGACAAAATGTGTTCACTTCATAGTTGCCATGGTTTCTTAAATATTGTCGTTTTGTAATAGCATTTATATTTATTCAAATATTTACTTTCTTATGATGTGACAGGTTATCAAGTAGTTGGTATCCATTTAAAGATATCCAAAGTAAGTTGGGATTTGGTGGTTTGAAAACATTTTGGTAACTGGGTGAATTAATGTACGAGTAAAACTAGGGAACTATGGTAAAATATAAGTCCATATGAGATAGTTTATTTGATATAACAAACAGTGATACAGTATTATTTGCAAGTTGATGTTTCAACCAGAATTTATTACTGCTGTTCACATCGAAATAAGTATGCAAGTTTCAGATTTCCTCAATATAGTCCATAGTCTTCATTCTTTTGTTTTAATGGAAGTAGAACTTTCCAGATATCTGTAATGTAGGATGAGTCATTATTGTTACGTACGCTAGGCTTTGATTCAATGAACAAATATTCTGTGATCAGCCTCTCGCTTATTCATTATTTTGATACTTGCATTTCCCGATAAATATCAAATAAACAGTATCGAAATTATTCAAGTAGGCTTTCAAAATTATAAACAGAATCTCAAAGCGGAATCTCTTCAGATAAAGTGGAGTCAAATTATAAAAAAAGGAATGAGTGGATAGACGTAACTTGACCTACTTTCAACCCATCCCACATACTGACATGACCAACACACATTTGACAGGAACTATCAAGTGTACATACAAATCTTAAACTGTAATTCACACACTTATCAATCACTTTAGAAATCACAGTTTTGCGGTGGTTTTATTTGAAGTTTTGGTGTTAGTGAGCACCAGTGATTTACTTACAAATGATAAACGACTAAAGAATTTTTCCTTAGCTTTATCCGGAAGGCAGTCTGATTCTTCAATATTGAAGTTGGCTGTAGCACTAGTGCCTTCTTGGCTGAAATTAGTAATGGTAGCCTTTCAAGTAACAACACAACTGTCATTCACATAAATGGAGCATAAAATCTGATTATATGGTGGCGATTAAACTTTGACTTGACATTAGACATTAGCAGCTTTCTGTTATCGTGAATGTTTTGCTGAAAAGATAATAATTGACTCAGGTAAAGGTGGCATGTATACAGTGAAAGCAACAAAAGAAAGAGGTTGAAGGAAAATGAAGCAACAAGAAACCTACCGGTGGAGGAGGTTGATTATACTGTGGCAGTGGAATACGATGATATTCAGCATGCTCATTTAAATAGACTGCATATGAGTCAGGTATTTTATCAAATAGGGAACTATGGGTTGAAGCTGCATCCAAAGTACTATTATTATTATGTGTGTTAGCCGCATTAATTGGATCAAATGCTTGTTTAAACACTTGTTTTAAGCTTAATACTTCCGGTTTTTCAGCAGAAGAGTTTATACTGACTGTTGATAAATTACCATTTTCATTTACTTGATATAATTTGCACGGAGGCTTCATCTTCCCAACTGACCGCGAGAACTTTTCTTCCATTTCCTGCAAGATAAGAATCAGACAGAATGATGTCAAGAGATATTCCTTGTTGAATGAGTCCATGCTTTTAGGCGATTACAGGGCTTGGAATGGCCTAAAGGTAACAAAGTAGAAGTCAAACTAATGGCCATTCAATCGGTCATCCATAACCATACATGCCTTTGATTATATCAATCTCGCTTACTCTAAACTTTCAAAGTGTAGGAAATCAACTACTTTACAGGGTAATGTATTGGTAAAAACTAACTGATGAGCAAAGCTTATTCAGGATTATTATCCACATTTGAAATTTACAAATCGAGGCTTTCTACTTGTATAAGTAATATCTCTTTAAATACTAATGTTTAAAATTAAATGGTCTATATTCTCACTACCATTTTATGTAAACTGCTAGCTTTTACCTAAATTGCTAAAACAGTTAAAAAGGATTAGTGAGAGATCCACTTTTATAATACAGAGTATAATATATCTTGTTAGAAAGAGTGTCTACTGATACGTTATTCAATTCACATTTTTCAAGCGGCAGACATGCTGAACAGATTTCTTTTCAGCTTGTTTGTTCTCTAGTTGTACATCATATGTGGAACTTACCATGTCTGATACAACCGTGAGTTTAAGGAAACTACTGTGTCTGTAACGTGTGCGTGTAAGAAGTCCATAGTTTGAAGTTAGCTAGAAAGGTTGACGTCAGAGTACAGAGTATGCAAACTTTCATAAACTCAGTTGCATTATTTTGCGAGCTGATATATGCATATGTACAAGATAGAATGTTTTGTGAATGGGCTTAATGCGTACATCTACCCTTTGAACGACACTCTAAAGATGCATCTAGATTGTATTGTTACGTTTCAAAGAAATATTCTTTGGAGATAAATAATGTTGTGTTGCTACTAACACTTGTCGCACTTTAAAAATACTTCATCCTATAAACGGTCTGGAAATCGTAGAATATGTCAACAAGATTTAAAAATGTGAACTCAAAACTTCTAATCTAGAGCAAATTTATTTCATAGTTTTTGGTAGCATTCAGAGCTAATATGATCAAATGTAAAGCAATAATTCTGCTGGTACAAAAGCAAAGGGAGCGAAATTCTTAAGCTCTTTTTGAGTGAGTGTAGTGAATACCTCTATGTGACATTCCATCACTGTTAACTTAATTAAACTTTGAGTTGTGAAGATTTTTGGATAAACCGAAATGCAATTATGCAATAGTTCAAGGCTTCAAGGGTTTTCAGTGACCTCTCAATTTCTGCCTTTTTTAGTCCAATTTCCTCAAACCACATAAACTAACATAATTGAAAAACATTGTGCACTCTCTCTTGACTCAACAATTATTAAATTACTGTGTAGTAGTTTTGTAAACACTGAAATAGTTCAACGATTTGAAACAAACCTCAAGTTCCATTCCACTAACACCTCTCAGTAAAATGGGATCTTCCGGTTTGCGCTTCGCTCTCCAACTACATGTTTCACCAGCATACTTGATGACATATTCATCGCGTAAACATATCCATATCATTTGTGGCATAATAACTGCATATGTATCTTTGTTATTCAAAGATTTTTCAGAGCCTTTTTTAGGTATAATTTCACACTGTGGTCTCACATTTTTCAGTGATACATCCCAATAAGCTTTTGTAAGTACATTGTGCATGTTAGTAATACCATTTGTATCCGGTTGACTGGATCCATAAATTGGTAGACCAGCTAGTTGACGAAAATTATCCAGACCAGTTATTCGCCGCGTACTTAATTCATCTACATGAAGTGAACTATCGGTGACCTAAAAAGTGAGTACAAAGTTTTACTTTGCTGTAACTAAGAGTTAAAAAGTGTCACACTTAGGTGCGTGAAACTAATTAGTATCATCACAGGAATCCTTCACTTTTAAGCAGCATATCATTCGGTATAAAATGAAAATTTTCGGTTATATACATTACTTCTCTTATATCTCAATAAGTGAATAATGTCACAAAATCATTTCCGATCATTTACCTACTTTCACTCTTTTAACTGTTGTGTACTGAATTCAGAAGTGATTACTAGTTCACTTAAAGAACTTACCGGCTTACAGCTACCAAGTTCATGTTACTATTAAGGTGGATCATGTTTATTGTTTTCTGCTGTAAAACTTGTGCGCTTTCATTATTTCTGAATTCATATCTCATTTGAAATTCGCTGTATTGTTAGATTATTTCACGTCTTTCATCAGACTATGGAAGTATAAAATCTATGGTAATAAATATGAGTCATTTTATAATAATTACAAACATTTGCAGCTACAAGTCATCTTACAAGGATCAAACATGCACGATAGCTTGTTAAAACAAGTACTTATTTTTTCCGCATGATTTTGCTTCGCTTTAACTGCTACTTTCAGAGAAGTGCTAGTCTTGTAAGACTGATGCATTAGTTTTTTATTGTAGATAATGTTTTTCGCTAGTTTGTGCACACTGTGATACAGATGATTAAATATATGGAGTAACATTCAAGATGAACAGAATCCGGCTCTTCCCTTTTTGAATATAGATGTGTTCAAATGACGTCTGCTGTATAAATTAGGACCCTAAATTCTTATATATATTTGTACAGAAGCAGTTTCAAGTGGATTATCATTTAATTTCAGAGTATGAGGGGAATTTTCAGCAGCAGTGTATTGTTAAATTGTACTGCTAATACGCGTCAGTTGTATTGTGAAGGCTTGCTCATCAAAAACAAGTTAGTGGCTCACTTTCGGTACTCAGACATACGCAAATCAACGCTCAAATGATTAGTACATTATTTAAGTTTCAAAAATCTTAGTAATTTCATTTCAATTTGATTATTTTGGAATGCATGTTGACAGATGCATTGCATTATGTATATCGTGACGTATATTTTGAAGATACGTCATACATTTAACTCATCATTGATGCATTCAATGTACTATGAAAATTATAATTAAACTACAAGAATCATCTCATTTGAATACGGTGATGAAAGTTGATTAACACAGAAAAGCACTTTATTAAACTATGGGTTAAATTTCAAAGGCTGAAGGCACGTACCATGTTTTTTTGCGAATCTTATAGTTTCCTAATGACCAAATAACTTTCGTTAAGAGACACTAGTCGATTTTATTTTAAGACACACACTGAAAGTAAATCAAAGAACTTGAGGAATCAAGAGAAACAAAGTTGCTAACGCGTACAAAAAGTAAGTCACCAATTTTTGCCTAAATATCGGGAATCATGTTGCTCAACATTAATTTAATCCAATACTTAGACCAAGGTTATAAGAGGAATGTGAAAACACGCAGATAACTTCCCAATAATATGTTTCAACGTACCAATACACGATGTCCAAGCTTTAGCATATCCACTGATGTGTACCATTCTGATACATCTAAAAAGTCCATAATCTGATAAAGACGAGGCTGTTGTTTCATCCAGTTTGAGAAATTTTCACTAAATCTTACATGCATCTAAACAGGTAACAAAAAGTACTAAAATAGTTGAAATGGTTACTAATGTAAGAGTATAATTCACGTACTGAAGTGGAGTGTAGCGTTATTATACATTTTTGTTTGCATCATTACTGTATACTGGTTAACTTTTCCAACACGAATTACTGTTCATAATCATATCAAGGTATAATGTAATTATGATAGAAATTGTGCTAGAAACGTCATCTAGTATATATTAATATTTCACTTTGCGTCATACAATAAAGAAACTTTAATGGAATTACATGTCTATTGACAACAAATTGTGTTCTAAATGTTATGGTGTATAATACTTTTTCGCCATGTTATATCAAGCAGAAATACTAACGTGGAATTATACCTATATATAGTACTGCAATTATACTCAAAAACACTTTTTTGTCTTACTTGTTCTCGAAGATATGCATTGAAGCAGATTAACAAGTGATACCTCTCCATTTGATCAATAGCTTTTTCGTAAAGTATTTTACACACTGACAGCTTCTAAAAAAGATGAAAAATGTTGAAAATGAAAAGATTGATCACTCAGTGCATATTTTTTTTCATAGGAAAATTCATTGTCATTAATTCAGAGATGATAAACAGGTATTCAGAACAACACTGGTAGGATTGCTGAACAGGGATTTTAACTTGCGTGGAAAAAGTAATGAAAAAATGCTCTTAGGTTCTATTCAACTATATTCACACCACAATTTACAACTTCTACTTTCCAAGTTATTTCTTCCTTCGGTTTGTTCACTTCTTTGCTTGTCTTTTGGTTTTTCTCCCAACAGTACTAGTGCTTTGTCTCCCAGGCGAGTCAAATTCCATGGCTTTTTTGTACGATGTAGGTTTGCTTCCTGCTTATTCACCTCTTCATAATCAACACAGTTTAGTTTCGGATGGCATGGTTTCGGTTACATCATAATCAACAAATCAAAGAAGTGTTTGCTTCATTCTCTTTTTGCGGATGTGAAATAATAAATAGTAAGTCCCAGAACTGTTCTGTCTTGCGGGCCTTTTATTTTTTACTCTTTGAAGTAAATTAAATCATTTAACACAAATATCTTAAAACCAACATATTATGCTTCCTATTGGTGTCAATTTCTTATCTTGGATAAAACGTCGAGAATGCTCTTTTGATTGTGCAACGAAAAGTGTAAGGGACAAACTGGGTCGAACTACTCAGGTTCGATGACGTTAGAAGTAAGCAAAAAATCATCAGAAATGTCCAACTGACATAGGTGAAGCTTTTAACTTACCTCTTCTTTGAAATGACTTTCAATGCTCTGCTTAACGAACCTAACATTTGGTTGTGGTGAGACTTTCATACACGAGAACGTGATTACTTACCGGTACACATTTGAATGGGCAATTTTATTTCTTATATCCCATCGCTGAACTCGATAAGTTACGCGTGACATTACGACTACAAGCCACATTCATATTTCGACAAATCTTAGAATGACTGAAACCTTGATACTTTAGTTGTAACTTATTTATTTTATGATTTCTTTTAACGTTTATTCACCACAATAGCATATAAGCATTGTCAAATACTTTGATACTCACGTAACACCCCGATATTCTTTTCCTGACCGAAAACAAACAAAAATTGTTGCATTGTATACCATTTTGGTATTGTTTGACGCTAAATGTAGTTTTACAGCTTTCAAAATGGGATCACTGAATACAAAAATGCCCACTGAAGCATTTTCTACAGCTCATTAAAATGATATAAATCTTTTAAAATTTTACTTACATCACTTTCATCTGTTTCTCTTAGTTCTCCTAATTCAATGAGTGACTCCACTATTTGTTCGCGTAAGTTTATTACGTCATCAAAATCATCAATGGCCTGGTCAACCTAAATTATTTGATATAAAATGAGTAATTTGGAAATTAGAAGGAACTGAAAAAAATAATAAAGGTAATACTCCATCCCTAATGTGGTTTGGAAAAGAGTGCTTAAATGTGAAAGAAAGTGTTATTTAAAGCGTTGTGGAAATGAAGTCATAATCGGTATAAGTATATACATATATATTCTACCCGGCGACAGATGAGGTTTTTGATTGACAACCTGACCCACGTACAGCCATACAACGAAGTGCATCAGTTCATGTTCCCAAACCTTGTAACACTCCAGAAATTTTGGTCAAAGCTGATTTTCACACTTAAGCTACAATAAAGTAATAATAAATTTGTAACTTCTGTGGAGAATTGGTATTGTTCATTCCTTATTCCCTTCTTTTGCAATACACATTGATTCAAATAGAAATAAAACGAAATATAACTTTGGTTTGAGCCTTACAAACCGTTTTCTACATTTCACTTCTAAGAAATCTAACTAGAAATATACATTCATCATCAGTTCAAAGAACTACTGCGACTGACAGTGTAATATATTAACCAGTCAGCGCTTCTGTTCGTTTATAAGAACTTTAGTTACGATTAATTTACTAACGTATAGTATTAATTAATAACTGAATGCTAAAGTTTATTCAACCAACACGTTTCACTTTTGAAACAGACAATCTGTTTTGCTGCCATAGAATATGTAAATAAAAGGAGTTCAAAAAAAGCCTCAACACCTTGTAACAATCTGAGAACAGACAAGCATATCAAGAGATTCGACACCCATATAAAAATAGAATAATGCTTTAAGGATAATCTAAACATACTAGGTGTTTTAGTACCGATGGATAGTTGCTAGCAGTGGAATGCAGGATACGCATTTCGTCCTATTTGGGACTCATCAGCTGGATGTACTTGCCTCCCAGTGAGTAATGTGTTGTTCCTACCGAGAATCAAACTTGGGACTGATCGCTTCAAACGCCAGGGCGTTACCCAATAGACTATCAAGCCACGATAGTCACTTCTCGGTGTTTTGGACTAATTCCGGGTTTCATGGAGGAACTTTAGTGCTTTATTTAAGATAAACTGTGTTCTCCAAATACATAGTGAAAATATTTAACCGTACTTACTTGCAGTCATAAAGAAAAAGGATATGTTTGTCAGTGATCTGTTTGTCAACATATGAAAGCAGCAAAATCACTATCCGGCTAATATATATTTTTAAAATCGAAAATAGCTTGAGATATTCAACGGTTATTGTTATCCCATCTGGAGGTTTGCGGGGTTTGATAATTGATTTTAGGTTGAGCCACTGGGTCGAAATACAATAATCCATATTTCCTATATCCTTCTGTTCACAAATGGATTCCCACCCCGTGACGCGATGGTAACGTGCTGGCCATGGGATCTGAAGGTCTCGGGTTTGGTCCCTGGTGGGGTCGTGGTTGCGCACTGCTGAAGAGTCTCATACTAAGACGGAACAGCTGTCCAGTGTTCCCAGATTTCCAATGTTTCTCCAACTGATGTCACTCCATGATGAATCCCAACTCATATTATTGTTATTGTTCATTTTACTATTAAACTACCGGCCATTTCGTTATCCTAACATTCTACAAAAGGCTGTTTCATTGCATGATATCAGACAGCAACACTGAAAATGTCTGATGCATCATTCAATAGCTGAAACTGATATACTGCGAGAGATATACTGAATTTACAACTTGATTAATGCTTTCTGCGATGATGGTTGGTTGCAGAAGAAATTAGTGTAAACTGGGGTTGAAAACATTATTATTAAGACTACCGACTGTCTGTCTCACAAATCCACTTTTGTTGCACCAGACCTATATTTCAACTCAGCAAAACCATAAGTATTTCTGTGTAATCTAATTTCAAAATTGTCTACATCTTCCATTAGGCTTACACAGGGGAAATCTTCAATAACATGGTATTTTGCTTCCCTTCAAATCCTTCCAGCTCTTCTTTAGTTGGACCTGATAATCCGTACAGTTAAAAAAAGCCGCAGTAAAGTTACAGTAACTGAGTCCATATCAACATCATGACAAACACGATAGTTTGTTTGTTTGTTTACTTAGTCTTAGCTAGCAGCTAAATTCAAGACATGTGTTTTGTGCTATTTGAGAGTGAAACTGTTAGGTAGCTCAGTCAGACTGTCTATTATAAAGATTAAAAACTACTATTATGAAACTCTGAAATGACTACTAGAAAGAGGTATTTCTAAGCATCAGATAGTTCTCGAGAAATTTTAAGCATTTTCTGTCATATCCAAGCCTTGAGTTGGATACTGAGTCAGAAGCAGTGATGCGCATCAACTTTGTGATTCCGTGCCATTAAGTGAGGCCTAGACCGTTGAGAATAAAATCCTCAGAAATATAGAACTACCCTTTTTATTATATGTTTGAGTTAGTATGTCAGTGACAAATACTGTTTTCGGTATGGATTCTTGAAGAGATCTAAAATTATACTGAGTACTTCAATGTTCTCATACAAGCAAATGATAGCTCCTCATGCACAAGACGTCAAAAGTAGCTTATGAAGTTATTTTGAAACATAAAGTTTGTCTTTTCATTGCGCCTATCCACAAATGAACTGGAATAAGTATGAATACAACTTTGGAAATGTTCGTGTCAGCAAAGTAAACTATTTATAATAACTTCGGAACAAAAACGACACCTGTTTCGAGATCAAAGTCCCTAAATCAATAATAGCACTGTAGGTAGTCAGTAGGAGTTTATTATCTAGTTATTAGTTATTTTCTGTAGCCTTGGAAGCAACATAACCAATCTTCATCATCATAGATGTATCACTTGTCACTGATCCGAGTTAGTTCAGAGTTAAACGAAAAGGTAATAATAATAAAATCTACGAATGAACAAATTCGTGAGAGATCTTTGCCTGTATCATAATATATAGTACAGTTTCTGTCTGTCAGATCGAAACAAGAATAATACTTTCTGTCATTGTTAACATTAAGGATATTAGTTTCTATGAAAGTATCAAAAGTCATAAGTACGCCAAAGTGTTCAAAAGTTTTTTCCAAAATGGGAACACATTTATACTAACGAGATGAGGGTGAAATTAAATTGTAAAAGTGGTATGCACATATAAGGTCTGAAATTGAAAAATTACATTCTGTTTATGGAATCCAGTTCTAAAAGTCAGTCACGGCCTGAACAGCTCAGTAGTAACGTTGCTGACTGAAACACTGGATGACATCATTTAGGGTCACACAGAAGATACCGCTTCCTCTGAGGTTCCAGATACGTCTTGCTGACAAGTGCCAACTAGCATGAAATGTAAATACAAGGCTTTCTGGATATTGCCTCCAACCACCTAACATCCACTAGACAGTACGACGATAGTGAGCTTCTTTGCTTGGTGGTAACATTGCAAAATGATAAATAGAATCGGGTCAGCACTTAGGCCCAAAAAAAAGAGATTGGTTGCTCTCCAGTGATCAATCCGTGTAGATTTCATTCTTTTAGGCATAACAGTTTTCCTCCAAAGTCAATACTTTTTCTTAAAAATTCTACGTTTTCACTGTTTAACCTAATACAAGCTAATTTTATAGATCATTAAAGTAACCATCTTGGTTCTAAACAAATGTGTTCATAAAAAACTTAGGAAAAAATTGAGATGTATTTTTTCCAACGTTGCTTTAACTTACCTCTTCTTTAATTTGTGCCATAAACGGTAAATATCTGCCAAGTTGTTTTGCGAAATGAAATTTTCCTTTCTTCAGTTGATTGATAGCTCGGGTAAAAATTACTTCATCGAAACCTTTTTATTTTTCTTACTAACAATATCAGTTTTCATACTACTTTTACCAGATACAATACTGCCGTTTTGTTTTTGAAGCTGATTTATATTCGCCGAGTTTAAATTCCTCATAGGATTAAGATTGAATGATTCATTCTGCAGACAGTCAGGACTAACTGTCATAAATATGCTTGCTAATGTTTTCAAAGCTAAGTGAGCCATAACCAAACCAAGTTGTATTGAGCCATCAGTTATTTTGTGTCCAGTTATTAAGAACTGCGGTAACTCCATTCTATGGATGAGGGCTAAAAATTGATCTTTTTCACGTGCCCACTGACTTATCGACTGTTGGTTCCGACTTTGCACATGTTTTGGCAAAGAATCTGAACAAATATGCTATAATTTTACGAATAAATAATAGCAGAAAATATGAATATGGTCAATTGTATATCGAAAAAATATTTCACTGAATTCATCTCTGTACAATTTAATCAAGAACAAAGTTAATCAAAGAATCAAATTTTATTTTTAGGAAACATTTTCAATAATTGAACGGTCACCGTGATCTTAATCTCCCTTCAATTCTTTTTATTGTTTTAATATTTACCTTAACCTTATTATTGTTATTATCATTTATTATTTATCCCTTGGGTTCCTAGTGGAATATATGGCTTCAGTAGCATGCCTTCATTGCACTCTCTTCTCTGCAGTCTTCAAAACCTGGCTCTACCACTGCCCACAAGCTTTCATTTCTTCCTCACACCATATCCTCCATGTCATCCTCAGCTGGGACGCCCAACTCGTCCTTTTCCCTGTGGATTCCACTCGAGTGTCTGGCCCGTGGTGTCCCCAGTCGGCCTTCTCAGTGTATGTCTAATCCAATCCATCTCCGCTTTGTTCTGCATATTTGTTGGGTGATAGGTTCTTGGTTGGTTCGTTCCCAGAGTTTCTTACTGGGGACCTTCCTTAACTTCATTGGCTGATTATTATTACTGTTTTTACTTAAAGGTTACTTTACCACCTCTATACGTGCTTTTTCCAATTCCTCACTAAACACCTCGTAATATTTTACTTCTGTTATTGCTTAAAATTAGTGCTATTATTTCGTCACCGTGATTATATAATTATTTTTAACGACCAACCTATAATTACGCAACATCCTTCTAGTTTGAGCTCTAGGGTATTTCCTCTTGATGAGCTAACATTAACTTATGAGTCAATAGTAAACTTCCTTGTGATTACTGTGAATGCAATTTAACAATTACTGAAACTGGTTCGTCGTAAAGGAAGTCTTTGGCAGATTCACTTTGCGCTTATCTAAATGTCTGTATAAGCTCCACTTGCTTATTTTAGATGATGGTGAATAGATAGAGAAATAGTTTGAAATCAAATGGAAGAAGTGAAGAACTATAGGATACCAAGACAAAACAGAACAAATGTTTCTTAAAGACTGTAATAAACAGTAACTGTTGCTTTCAAACTTGACTATATAAACTTTAAAAAAGTTTAATTCATGATTTTTTTAAAATTGTTCAGTGCGTTATCATACTGAGGTAGGGACCATCAATGAGTGTTTAAGAGGTTATACCGTTACCGACTGAATACACCATCAAGATGAATTTTGACTTTGTTGTCATCTGTTTATTTCTCACCAGTCAATAAAGTAGATTACTGACATCGTCTTTTCATCACAAATAGATGAGTGTTAGTCTTCTGAAAATTCTTTGACACAGAAAACATGTGAAAAGAAGCAAAATTATGTGGATCATTTTGAGGTACACTTATCCTACCTAATAAAAACAAAAATAAGACCTTGAAAAGTTGTTAACGACAATGTTATTTTGTTTCTCATTGGTTAGGAAAAGTAAACCACAAATGAGTGAATTCTCTTGGCATTATATCCTTTCTCAAATTTCTATAGTTTGTTATCCTAAACGATATCAGAAGTAATCATTAGGCAGTCTTAAATAAATTTATGTTAGCAGTTGACTGATGCTATCAATTTTAAGTTACACAGATTCCGGTAACAAAAATAACAAAAATCTTCTTAAGTTAGGTAGGCCTGCTTGAACCCTGGGCTACCGTTTTCTATCATCGAGTATATTGCATCAAATTTCTTATTTCTATATTGTTTTAATCGTTAAATTATGTCAACCAATCGTATTGTATATTCTTGCGCGTTTTTAAAAACATTACAACCGATCGCTCCGCAAGTTGATAGGAAATTTAAGAATATTGTTTGGAATAGAGTGAATTATTATTATTATTAGCGTGGGTCATTTCTTTTCAAGTATATTACGAGTAAACTAAATTAAAATGTTTTGGAAAGCGTAAAAGGATATTCAGCTCTGGATAATATGGACTTATTCATAGGGAAGTAGCTTATTTATGCATTTTCTCCTATTAGTGTTACTCAAATCCAATTTTTTTTGTACTTGACTTCATTTAGCTAGATACGATTTACTAAATATGAAGATAGTGAGGAGAATTTCATCTCTGAATCGACGGTTAGTGACTTGAATAATGTATTGTTGTAAAAAAAGTCTATATTTTGATTCGTTACATGGATGGACGTTGTGGAATCAAATTTACTTCTATCGAAGCTGTAAAGATGTATGAAAGGATGCTTTTAAGAAAACTAATACGATACATATGTGTAGCATTGCATTCCCTGTAAGTTTATCTACTTATGCTGAATAGTTGTGAATACATTCTTATCTGATTATACACTACATTAAAGCGATGAATTCAAAATGAAAAGAAATGTGAGAAGTAAAATTAACTCCCAATTACCATGAGAATAAAGCAACAGATCAATTGTATCTCACAACAATTTATCTTTAGCTTAACTGTGATCTGCATATTATTATGTCTTTTTTACTTCCCTTGATTTATTGACTGATATCTTTCGTTTCCATTTTACTACAACAAATAGTACTTTTGTGACAATAAAGATACGTTTAATGACGCCGCCCAATAATTATATTCAAGCCCTAGTTTATCTATAAGCAATAAATTATTCTCTAGTTGTGCGGAAACGATTTACTATTATCTCTCTTCATATATCCTGTAAACTATATTGTTTCACTGTTTGAGTTTTTAACAATGAAACAAACTAACATAAAAATTATATTGTACCACGGTGCCTAAGTTTTACCCTAGTATAAGCTAAACAATAGGTGCACATAAGTTTTAGGTCTCTCAAATCTAAGCCGTGCATCTGATAATTAAACAGTAGTGGGACGAATACGTGGGTTTTTTCACTGTTGATCCGAAGAACCTGAAAAATTCCACACTTCTTTGATGACATCTAAGAAATTATGAGAGGATAATTTGGAACTTAAAGTAACATTGCTAAAATCAATAGTAGTGCTATAGATGTATTCATGACTTACATCAACCTGAATCACAATATTGTATTTTCTATAGTCATGATGGGCAGTGGCTAGCAGTGGAATCCAGGATACGCATTTCATCTTATTTGGGACTCGTCAGCTGGATGTACCTGCCACCGCCCATTATTACTATACATAGTTAAAAGACAAGCAATATCGAGGCATCCGCACAAGAGCCCATATGCCAACAGAGACTGATCATTTCGGTCCAATCAACGACGGTGTAATACAAGCAATAACACTAAATAGTATTTTCTGTTCTAGTATTCATCTCGGTCTTTCCCATGATTTCTTTTTTGTGACTATTGATGTTACCATCTTCACCCACTTATATTTTATCTTGTGAATTTCAACTTTATGTTGACGTTAAGCGAGAAGACTCAAAGCACACTGTACGGCTATGGAAAGTTGTGTTGTTGATGTATATCTGTCTATCTAATAGGAATACAATTCATTATAAATAAGGGAAACTGTGCAAGTAAGGTTTGAAATCTTCACTGTTCAAAGTGCTGTAGCTACTTAAAGCACCGATGGTTAAAGAAAGTATCGCTGTAATCACGAGTAGATGGTCAATCCAAGTTTCCTAACAAGAATTTTATTAATTCTAGACAAGGATTACCTTTGATCATGCTCTGTGCTTTTGGTAAAGTCATTTTGTGTTGAACGTCAATAACTTTATCATTCTCTGGCTTTGACACTTACACTTAAGTTTACTGTGGGCAGGCGGTCTAAACTTTGGGCTACCACCAAATATATTTCATCAAATTGTTCCCTTTAAGTTTGTTTTAATTTTTAAAATATGTCTTCTGTACGCAGGGTTTAATCTCACACATTTTTAGATGTTTTGAAACTGTATTTTCTCAAGATAAGAACAAAATAAAGAAAAAACGTTATGCCAGATTGAAATGGACTTATAAATACTCAGAAATACTGTACATTACTGTGCCAAAGATACCTAGATAGAATTTCAGATCTTTGTACTGGCTAATTGAAGTGGTATAAACAAAATTATACTCGATTTTGTGTTCATTCCTGAGTACACACCTGCTTGTAATCCAACACCAGCTTTCCGTTCCACATTAACGCCTCCAATACTCTGATTATTAACAATACCCAGACGCAGTCATTATTTATTTGAGAAATATTGTACAGGGAGCGAATTTGTTAAAATATTGCATACTGAGAATTCTTTACTGTATTATACATGTTGTTGGGAATAAGGCGCTTATTATTATTATATTCTTGTTTAGCTAAGTAATAATAAAAAACTACGCATGTGTGAGTATGCAGAAGAACTCAGTGATTATCACAGTAGTTTGTCATGCTTTTGACCCAGAAAACAAATGTAAGGGTTCTGATGAAATTCAGATATAATTCGTTTAAGTGTGAAGTTATTCCATTTCACTAAGCAACGCAAAAGAAACGACTGATAATATCACTATTTCCGACCTGTTCAGTGACGAAGAAATAAAATTAGGAAAGTCTGTCAAGGAAATAAACATCGAGTTAGACCTATCTCTTTTATGTCCTTTTAATAAGAGTATATTCCTGATACCAGATTAATCTCTTTCAATTCTATGATGATCGTGGAAACAAAGTGTTAGGGCTTGAAAACGTCAGAGACTGTATTTACAACCAAAATCAGAATAAAAAGCCACGTATATGCTCATCTTAAAATCAAGACGAGGAGAAAACCTAAATCCATTTCATTATTCTGACTACTGTATATCATACTGAGGATATCGATTCATTCAAAGGTTATCATTTAGCAAGTTATTAACAATAACATATCATAAACAAAAATAACACTGGGACTTATCAAAAAGACGTTCGTAACTTTATTTACAGACGTCGATAGGTACTTAAGACATGACAACTATATTAATGATCACCACGTTACCAGGTTATGCGTGAACAACATTCTCTAAGTTCGTCAACACTGAATACTAGAGTGGGTTTAAACGAAAGTTTCTTTTCCGAATTGTGAATTTTGTTTGAAATCCCTCAAGTATAGTGTTAAAGGAAAAAAGATTTTCATTCCGTTCAACTCGTTTTACACTGATGAATACAAAAAAACAAAAGGACGGTTTCAGCGAAGATAATTATTTTCTGGGGAACTCATTTTCATAGCTGCAACTTCCTAATAATAAAATCTTAAGAATAGAAATTTTCAGAAGAATCTCTAGTCAGGAGTCAAAATTCATAAAACAGTAGGGTGAGGTGTTGATAGTGAATAAGAGTATACATCATAACACAAATCGTACATAAAAATTCCGAAGGTTCGGGATAGAAAGTAGGGAAAAATAATGGCAATATTTTTTAAAGGAAGATAATTGTCTTCACTGTAGGCGTCTTTTCGTTGTTTTATGACCAATCAGAATCTTTTTCCGTTCAATAAACCATAAGGACAGAAAAAGAAATGACCACGTCCCTGCCTTCTTCCTTAATGCTTGCAGGGTGCATAAGGGAGTTTTTCTTGTTAGTGGTGTTTTTAGGAGACACATTTGTCTTGGATATTTCACGGAATAATCTTCTGTGTTACCATATGTTTTTGAAGCTAAACCCTTTCGAGAACCATATCAGTGGCATCCAATTTCGACCATCAATGATCATGCCTAACATATATTAGAAAATTCAGGCTTTATTAGACCCATCAGTGGAAGAAATAAAGAATCTTGAAAAATACATAGCACCAAAGATCGAAGTGAAGGTATTGTCTGATGCATATGAAATTATTAAGTTCGGTGAAAAAAGTTAGTGAACTGAAAGAAAGCGAAAATGTGAATGTAAAGTCTCAAATAAGGGTTTTAGTATTCATGATGAAATAAATCTTTTTATGAAAAACAAGGTTACAGCTATTTTGTCCGACGATAAGAGTCATCCAAGTTAATAGCAATGCAGTTGCTCAAGTGAATAAGTCAGTCACCAACATTGCTTTGCACAAACAATTTTCTCGCAACATAATTCTACTTATGCGTTTCTTACCAAAAACTCACAGTATTAAGTATTACCGGTTCTTCATACTACGAAATCATAAAGCTGATTAAGAAAAGCCTTGAATCTATGAAGAAATTACTTTTGAAATACAATCTTTGTAATACACTTCAGTTTTCTGAGTCAATCTGTGATATCGACCTCCAGGAAAAGAGATTGTCTTCATCAAACGTTTTCTCACTATGGGCAAACGTTTTGCTTACAGAACAGTCTCTTTCTTGTGCTACTTTAATCAGACCAGAAATCTTTACCCACTAATCTGTCAGACCATGATTTGAGCTAATGGTTCCCCAGGTAGAGGTTAAAATATTAGCTCGAATTTAACAAGCAGATTTATCAGCAATCCGATACCTTAGTAGCATTGTTCCGTAATGAAGTGGATCTGGCTGACTGCTTTATATCGAAGCAAGCTCCACTCAGCGGCTTTGACAGCCATTATCTTTCATTTAGTTTTACACTGGAAGTCAAATCAGACTTGACGTCGAAATTCCTTGACATCGGATATAAACGAAGACCTGATAATTTCATTTGACTAACCGAATAGAAGAAACTCATTTGGAATAAGCAGTTGATCAACCTTAAGAGCTAGACGACTTTAGGTAGTTTAAGAAATCCTAAATCTTTCTAATCAAATTTAAAAAGACTTGTGCTAATGATGGCATCAAACAAGATTGTTAAGGTTTCTGTGAAACACTGATATAGAGTACTGGTTCCCATAGATTCACAGATTGTATAACAAGGGAAAGTAAATCTAAGGAACTTTGTTACCTAGATGAATATACTTCAAAAGATTTGATAGCGAAGAAAAGGTCTAAGCAGTAATCAGTAGCGCCATTTTACTTATAGCCGGTCTCAGATTTATAAAATGCATTTAGAAACCACAGCAAATCAATTTGTCAGTTCTTAATTTCTATGCTATCAAGTTATGTAAAGCGTGTTTGGTAGCAATGAATTATTTGCTAGCATACTTAGATAGGCAGTAAAAATCATAAATTTACGAGCAGTCATCATCCTACACAAAGAAGTCTACGAAAAACAACTAAGTGGCATTTTTATCGACAGTATAACCTAGATACGGTGATATTACTCCGTGACACTGAAGTTTTATTTGATGTAAATAGACTGAAATAATATATGGTTACCAGAAAACTTTAGTTACATTAGCCCAGTTACAAATAAATATTGATCAGCTGGAGGACCTGAATCCTGAGCGAAATGAGGACATTTTTCGAAATTATGTCATTACGTAACTAGATTTTTGTATACGTTATGGAGATAAGATCGTTCTACTGGCTATGGCAATAAGTAAACAACACAGTCATAGGTAAACTTGCAGATAAAATATGAAGTAAAGTCAACCTTTAATAAGTAGTACTAAGAGACAAAGCGTTCATACTTATCAGAACAAGGATGAATATCCAAATTTTCCCAGTTACTGGCTGCTCACTGCGATCCCATTTGAATATTTATATGGAAAAGATGGTTATGGATAGCGCCATAAGTTATATTAATTTACGGTAGAAATCCATCTTGAGTCATGGTTCGAATAGAACTCATAATCTACTTGTTAATTAGTGAAATATTTAAGTTATTAACCTTTAGACTTCATAAATTCTATTTATCTTCCCATTTAATGCACAAAAAACACATTGAAGGTGAATAAAAAGATTTACTTACGCGTAATTCACCTATAAATCTATCAACTTCTTCTTCCAGAGGAAATCGTCCTGGTACGAAGTTTAATCTTAAATATCTAAAATGTTCAAAACATTTTCAACGATACTGCACAGCAATAGAAATTTCTGGAATCATGGAAAGCAGTTTAAGGTACTTGTATACACTATATATTGAAATAACTATGACTATTTGATTTACGATGTAAGGTTAGTTCGCATATTATTTGCACGGTCGCTTCATCCTTTTTGATATTTACTTCAGCTGATTGGTGATTCAACCGTTCATGTGTGATATCAACAAGTTATCTTTTGGAAAAAGTTTGATTATGATCTGACTAATTAAAGTTAAAAATCAAAGTCGGTGATGTTTTGACAAGTCATGTTGTTTAGCAGTATATTTCTATATTTTACCTACCCACACAAAACGGTATTGAACTTTGGTTTGAGAATTGCATTAGTTACAAGATATTTTACAAAGGTTATGTCCGTATTTCATAATACTTCCCTACGCATAAAAATAACTGGCATCATCTAACAGTTTGAGGTATTCACGGTAAGACAAAACATGCTTTAAATTTAGTTCACTGGTTTCTGAATGATTTTTTTTTAGTGTTTTACATTGATGAACAATTTCACATTCATTTCACCAACGCGACCATAATTATGACTGTCATTGTTATAAAAGTAACAAAAATAATCACATCAATAATGTTTGCTGATTTTATTCATATCGACAAAATTAATTTGATGCTTAACGCCTTTAATTCTTTTGGTTTCTGATCTTTTTAGCTCGTTCATACCACTTTGACACCAATCACTAACTAATTCTAAACGACATTTATCAATTTCAAAAACAAGGTATTTCATTTCTCAATAGAAAGGATAGGGTTGTGGTTTTAAACCAGTGTTGAGATTACATTTTATAGTTAAACCAGCTTTTCTGAGAATAATCAAATTGTTGAGAAGCCATATACCTCTCATTTTTGCAGCACTTTTAATTCATTATCACTTCTGTACTTGTTATTCTCGCTTTTCCTTCATTTTCTTGCTCCGGCAATTCAGAGAATTATGACTCCATTGTGTAATGTTTACTTGAATTCCATTTTCCTTAGATCGTAGAACCGTTAGGGAAGTTAGACATCAATAATTTAAACTGTGTAATTCCTTTATTAGTCATTAAACCTGTCGCAGTTTTTCTAGGAACAATACATTTACAGCCTACATTCAAATGGTGATTACTGATGCCCCTTTCCCAACCGCTCAGTATGCATAAGGCGTATACTCTTGAGTTTTTAAATTCTTTATGGTTAGAGTATTCTCACTACAGTGTCGAATCAATCACTTCTTAAACTAGACTTTTGAGTTATTGACACTAATCAGTAAATTTATTCCTTTACTTAGAATCCTAAGAATGTTATTTTTGAAGAACTTGTCGTTATGTTCATGTACACCAGAACTGACCTACAATAAAAATAATGTGGCATCAGATCGGGTGCAATGATTAGCGTAATATTAACTACCTCTGTTATCCTGCTGTAAATGTAAATGTATCTTTCATTAGCGTCTTAAATCTGGTCTTCATGGTGGATGGCATGAAGCAGTGTTCCTCACTATAAACCAATAGGTTCTTATTAAAGGATAGACGAAGACTGGTTACCATGAGAGCAAACTATTGATAATATTCCCATTTGTCTGACAGTGAACCATATATAGTGAATCTTGCTATATGACAACTAGATTGTTTTCATGAGGAAAAAAAGTAGTTCATTTGCCAAGTAAAAAAATTCCTAAGTTCTAGTAAACTCACCGTATTCCATGTCTTCCCACGATAGACCCATAATAAACTTCTTCACCAACAAGCAGATAGTCTGGTGCTGTAGCTACATGTGCCACAGGTTGGTTTTCAAAGAATGTTATGTCATCATAAAAATAAAACACACTTTCTCTTTTAGCCTTCACCGTATTAATCACCTGGCAAAATGAAGAGAAGTTGAAATATTTATAATAAATTGTAGAATGCTTTTCTGATTCCTTTGAAATTTACAGAGAAATTCTATTATTTTGGAGGAGGCGGTGTAAATTGATTGTGTGACTGTAATCTAAGAAATGATTATTTAGGAAGAGATGAACTCTCAGATAAGATTTTTGGTTCCAGAGGAATTTATGACATAATAGTTACCATTTTCACTACAACTTCAGAAAATGCAAGTGTGAATATTGCAGCTGATGAACAGTAGATAACTTTGCCAAGCTATTAAGGTGGCTTACAATTATACATCCATGTAAATCAGGTTACTCAGCACTGTTTTTGCGAAACACCCAAAGCAATAAAGTAAAATGCACAAAATTTCCTAGCTCCGTTTGAGCAAAGTAGACATCGAAGCAAAAGATTACTTGAATGAAGAAAATTCTTCATAAAAAAACTCATGATATCCTTCCATAACAAACATCTCATTAAATTTCTTGTGGACGTCCTGGAAGAATTTGAACGCCAAGTCTGATTTAATCATCATATAAGTAATTTCTAATAAATATGATCAAGATTTGACTGAATAGTATCGCAAATAATGGGTGCTAAGCAAAAGATTGACATAAGATATAGTTTTTATTGATGCTAGTCATACCATGTTTGTGTTCGAACTAGACATCCGTTTCAAACACGCTGTGACTTACAACAAATATAAACTTTGTCTAATATCACGTAAGTTTAATATAATCCTAACCTGTTTGGAAAATAAAAAAACAAGATTTTTCGAAAGCTTTGTTTTTGAATACGCCAACTACACGTGTTGAGAAGAGCAAGAATAATTTAACTGCAGCCTAAACGTTATCACGAACAGTCAAAGTATTAGAACTTTGTATCTATTTTAGTTAAAATACAATAATTTTACACAAATTTCAACATTACAAGTTTCGGAAATGTAAACACATACTTCATCACGACATTTTACTTCCATTTCCTGAAGATCGATCCCCGTTTGATGGTGATTTTCCACAATATTTTGGACCGATGTATAATCTCTAATAGCATAAGGATACCAGTCGTCTTTTTCAAACGTAAAAAGGCAAGGATCACTTCTTACGTTAATCAATAGACATTTCTGAGAGAAAGAGCGAAAAAAAGTAACTAAGAATTTTACTTACCAAAAGACTGGTTTATTTTAAACCACTGAATTTTAAAAAAGATGCTTAAGGTAGCAATAAAAAGACAAATGGACACGCTGCTGTACATCGTTTAAATGAAAATGTCTATCATTAATATTGTTTTCGTGGATACTGTATTGTATATATCTAGTATATAGTATAGCGGCAGTAAGCGCCACAACTTTTGAAGCGAAATATATGTTGAAAAATATTTTCAACGATGAGTCTATAGTTAGTATTGTTAAATAAGTACCATTTTCATCGATGTGGCTTGCTTTGGACAAATAGTAGTTGTAGCACAATTGGGGAGAAGTTGAAGTCATACTAATGATTGTTGTCGTAACTATGCTGAACTCCACATTGAAATGTAGCTAACTAACCTTCCCGTAGACACGCATGGCACTAATCATAAAAACGATATACTTTTAAAGGTTAGAATAAATTGATTTCTGGAAATAAAATCACTTCATATCTTTTAGGAGCATAGAAAAGTTATTTACTACATCTATAGAATCAATTTACTCCTACTTCTCACACTATTCAATTTGCAGTAGCGCCATCCCAATAATGGGATGCATATTGCTAAACTTTATTAAATAATATTTCCAGTATAGATGAAAGTGCAATCACAGGTCACCAATCTTTCCTTTTTTTCCAGTTTATTTTTATCCGTGAAGTATGTTTTATCTAAATTACAATCACAGAAAGTGGAAACCAAAGCTGTTTACCTGAAGCCTAAAGCGAGAATATTGCCTTCCTTTATAGTTTTATTGATCTAAATGTTCTGAGAACCCTCACTGAACGTCTTTTTCATAGGTTTGAGTGATCAAGGTACACATACTGATCGTCCGCTTATGCATCTATATATGAGTTGTAAGGATATGTGCATAGTACATCGTATTCTCACTCAGCGAAAAATTATTTATAACTGGCATACAATTATCATATAAACTATTTCGGTTTTAACTGTTAGAAGGTCAAACCAAGGTCACCAAGAGTTGTCTACAGGATTATAGTGAATAAACAAAGAAATAAATAGACTGTCTTAGGGAGATTACGACCAAATCAAAATTAGAGATTGAATGCATCTTTTGTGAACATAAAGATCGAGCTTGAATCGCTGGATTGTCAAAGCTTCCGCTGTGTTGACTAGCCGAATATGATTTCGTCAAAATATTTTATTTGTCATTCATCTTCAAGAAGTCATTATATCCTTTTGCTAGATTGTTTCAGTGACTTTATTCGGTAAGTGGTTATTTTAGGAGATTTTCACTCATTTAGGAAGTATATGTCCATTACAAATATTACTTAATATACTGCCGTACTGTAAATTCTTAGAAGCCGAGAAATGAGGATGTTGCAATCTCAGATTTGATTGAATAGCAACACGCCTATTGTGAGGCTTGGTTATTATGATCTCAATCTTTAAAGGTCATAGAACAACCTTTGTCATATCTTATGCTAGGAAATCAGCCTTATAATGTTCGCTGGTTGTCAGCCTTTCGGTGTTGAATATGTGTCGCGTGAAACTTGCTTCTAAACCAATCACTTCCCCTCGCAACTCTTAAATTTGTATATTATTTTCACTTTGATAAAAACTGCCAAGGGAACTAAATTTATGAAAGTGATAAGGTAATCAACGGTGAATAATAATAGTTTGGATTTGATACTTCACTTACTCGATGACACAAACTGTCCAGCTTTTTTTGATCTCTTCAAATGATGGTTGTGATAGACCACAAATAGGTAAATGAAGTCTTGACTTTTGTTCTGCCACTAGCCTCTTCGAATCAGCGGCGGAAGGATTAAGATGGTCTTCATCTTTTTCATCATCTCTCACAAGACAGTATTTGCCCTGTTGAATATATATTTGAAAGTCATCATATTATAGTGGTACTGATATTTATCAAGAAATTAGTTTTTAACACTCAATAGAATCAACTGTTTCCATACCATGTGGTCTATGGCAACAGTGGTGTAGGCAGACGAAACTCAGTCACGGAATATTACCTTAGTAAGTTTAAGAAAGCGAAATACTCTAAGGTGCGTTATGACTAAAGCTGAATGGTATTTACTGTTGACTAAAAGGATTACTTGTAGACTATTCACGTCGATAATCATTAGTAGATGACCAAATTAGCGCGATACTAAAACTGATCTACTATCTCACTTGTTAGAAACTGCAATCAACAGCACATACAGCCGAATAATTGAAACTCGAGAGTTTTGAATTACCATTTTCCTTGACTATCAATTGTCAGGAAAGTACCTGTTAACTGTGTTTATAATGTTACCTCGATTTTAGACACAAGTAGATTGTTTGTTTTCATTGTTTACGTATACTAAACATTCAGGTACTTCAACAGTGCACTGCTGCAAAATTCCTTTTTGAACTTGACATTCCAGGAAGTTGGGTAGTTAGAGTTATGAATGTATATTTACATATTTATGTACTCAGTTGTGAAGCTAGTTATGCAGCCTTTAATTCCTCTGATTTAGATTATATTATATTTGAGTTAGTTCCATGTGATTAAGCATGCCAAAAGCTTATGGATAAATTCTTTGACTATAAGCGTATGGTCTGGAATTTGTCATTTAAGCATTAGTGAAATCATCGCCAAAATCTTATTTTCAAAATCATTTTATCTCTGGATGAAGTGTAATCCGAGACTCGCCAATTTTAAACTATGCTTTTTGAGGAGGAATATTTCATTTATATTCTTATATCATCTAAATGATAATTCAATTATTCTTAGTTAGCATTTTTGCATGCATTATACCGTCGTTGATTGGACCAAATTGATAAGTCTCTGTTGGCATATGGACTCTTCTTCAGATGCCTCGATATCACCTGTGTTTCAATCATAACAATGATGGATAGTGGCTAGCAATGGAATCAAGGATGCTCATTTCGTCCTACTTGGGACTTGTCAGCTGGATTTACCTGCCTCCCAGTAAGTGATGTTGTCCCCAACGGGATTCGAACCCGAGACTGTTCGCTTCACAAAAAAGGCTGTAGGATTACATGATGATTTATTTCCTTACAAAACTACTCGAATAAAGTCACTACTAAAAGCTCACTCTGTAACAGCATTTTCAATAGGCTGCGTATCTGAGTGATCTTCAGAAGAAACTCTTAGGAATGACAAGTTTTATTTACTGTGGACTTTTAAAGAAAGAAGATATTATATAAATATAAATTTAAACATATATATATATGTACCAGGTGTCTTCTTACTCGTATTCCCAATCCTAATAGTTTATTAAGAATAACTGTCATTCTTATCATTGCTATCTTTACTTAGAGTTTACCAAATTTCAAAGAAAAGTTATTGGTTTGGGTTTTTCATCTTTCCCAATGGCAATTTTGTTTTGTTACTTGGGTTTCATGAAGTGACACCGTATTGGAGTGAATACTCATCTTTTTATTTTGCATTATGCTATCACAAACTTGCAAAAAAAGTGTGAAATAAACTTTGATTTAGACTTGTTTTAGATTATGGAAATGAATTTAAGATTGCACATCTGATACGAGTATCATTTTCGGCGATTTTTGGTCACAACTATTTGTCTCGTTTCTCTTACTCGGTGTCAATTTTCTTATTTTAAAGGTTAAGAAATATGGTGAAAAAAGTTAAAACAGAAGTATTGAGATGAGCAACGATAGAATCAAAACTCTTTCCATAACTCAGTGTTTAATATTCATGATTTTTTTTTACATCAAGGTTCCCTTTTATCTTTAGGGCTTATAAATCAGGTATGACTGAGGAATATTTAGCTAGTGAACTAGTTTATGATTATGAAAATTTCACATGTGCTAAATATGTCATAAGTATCTTTAATAAAGGGATGTAATAGATTTATTTCAATTTGGTTACCTGTATCATAGGATGCGCAATCATACTAGGTCCAAGTTGCTTCATGATGATTTCAGGCAGTTCATCAACAAGTGTTTGATATTCTTCTTGACATCCATGAACAACAATAGCAGCTTTCTTATCTGCTCTTATACAATGATCTGTTGTACCAAATTTATTCCCTCCTAAGTTAAAAATAAGTGTTCATTACTCCTTAATTATTAATTTCCATGGCATTCAAAGTCGAAAAGTACATGATTTTCGTATCACACCCAAGGAGTCAACCAATAGGAAGCTACTGATAAGGAGTATCCTAAAGATAAAGGAAGCTCATAATCACTCCATGAATCATATCCGCATACGCGTGCTGAAGTATACAATTTCGGCAACAAGCTATTCAGGTCGCTACTGACCGCTTGTGTAGGATGTGTGAGTGTGCCAGAAAATCGGCCACATAAGGATTAATAGTTTGACTGCCTGGTTCAAAGAGCTCAGTTTGATGTTCGGCCTTGAAGCAAGTACCTAAGTACGTTGCTTCCAAAGCACAGTAATATACGACCAACTGCCTAGTAAGGATAACCAAATCTACTTAAGTGAATTAGAACCTTTTGGGCATTATAAAATGTGTACATTTAAAACTAGCTTCCCACACGGATGAATTTGAGCTGCAGAACCTTCAAAAGTCTGCGATCACGAAAAACAACCGTTTCATTTCTCTCAAAGGCTTTTCAAAATTGCTCCTTCACTTTTATCAGATGTATCAAGCCGGAAACTACGATGTTTCGCCAACAGCACATTCCCCTTCAACCAACAGGTTGGATTTAATTGGTCTGGTTTTTCCAGTTGCACATTTGTAATCATCATCTGGTGTTACTGTTGAGCTTTTGTCCTAACTTCTGAAGTGTTCAGTCCCGCAAGTTGGGGCTTCCAAAATCCTCCTTGAAGCAAGTTACTTATGAGCACCGAGTTTTATTGCAGTTTATGTCATGCAAAATGGGTAAATTTTAAATGATTTTCTCTCCAACTGCGGCCACTTCATGATGACAGCAACTATGAAATCAGTTAACAGTTATGAAGATTCACTTGAAGTTCTCGAACATATATATATATATATATATATATATATATATATCATTTATAATCCAACTACCCAATGCTCAACTTATTCAACTCTATCAGGTCAAATTTTGATCCTGAAGTTCACAAAATGCATATATAATACTTCCGATTTGATAACCAATCATTGAGTCACTTAACAAACCATAATTTGGCCTCTCAACAGGATTTACTTTTTTACTCAGAACACAACTATATCACGTGAGATATCCGGTTAGGTAGTACTGAATACTTTCCAGAAATAAAGAAAATACTGGAGGATATTACAGCTGCTTACAAAAAGTAGAGGAGTGAAATCAAACAGTTACCTTCATTTTGAGGCAGTGTTCACCAAGGACTGACATCAGCTGGAGAACCATTGAAAACCTGGGAGTTCTGTACAACTGTGCCGTCTTAGTTTGGGACTCCTCGGTGGTAAGTACTGATTTCAGTCCATGATGAGTACTGCCTAAAGATTAAAATCTCTATTCCCTTCAGAAAGTTACCTTTATTGTCTACTGCATCCAAGTTATTTCTATTTTCATTTACTGGACTTTCATCTGGAGTAAAAGACAATACAGTTTCAAATGAATAATTTACCTAATATAATGTTAACCAATTCTGGTAAGATATGTCAATACTTAACCCAGATACACTATTTATACAGAATAAAACAAAACATCACTGTATGTTTGCATTGAACACGAAGAAGAAGATTATATTTGCAAAATAGGATGAACACACTATATATCATTACCTTTCAGTCTAGCTGAAACTGCTAAGAGTGAGTTTTTGGAAATTAATAACAGTCAACACCTTATTTAATTGTAAATCATATAGCTAACCCTCTACATAAAAGGCTGAAGTTAATGATATAGTTGAACGACACTGTGGTTAAAAACATTCTCACGAAGTAGTTCTACAGTTCAGGAAATCAGTATTTATGATGTCAAAGGTGTATAGGTAATTAAATTAAACACACATTCGAGAAAAAAGCTCTTTATACTGGAGATCATGTAGACTCTCACGGAAATAAAATTGAAATTGTGAATGAATTAGGGTATTTGTTGCAACCACTATTTTGTGTAGGCGAAATGCAGTCAATTTTTCGATATTTGCGAGCCGCGTAAAACACTAGTAGCATTTAAAGAAAGAAGCACAGCGATTGCATCAACCTTGTTAACTATCTATAGTATTCTAGCTCGAAGTACAAATTTGAAAGTTTGCTTATTACATCTTAGACTTTGAATCCCTTTGTAGTCTCCAATCCTTGATGCTCCACATCTACAGGATTCTATCCAGAAAAGTAACACATCACCTCACAAATTTTACTGTTAGTCACAGAACTGACAGGTTGATGTTGTGTCTTTGTCTAACTTACCTTATGTTTTTGCTAACTTACTTCTTCTCTAAACATCAAATGGCATTGAAAACGTAGGTAACCATGTATGACTAATATATCATCTGACTGTCCCCATCAATCATGGTCTTTATTCCCATCAACTGACCAATCTATTTTATGATCTACCAATGTGTTAGCGGTTGACTTGCAGGCTTTTAGTCTGTCCGAAGCGTTCATGCTCACGTATTGGTGAATTTGGACGAACTGGCCACCAGGTTGTATTCAGTGTAGTCATCAAGCCCTAAGTGGCAAACACCAACAAAATCTGTCGACCAACTTTGTAAATTAACCAATAAACTAAGTGAGGCTTCCTGTAGATTGACTCATACTAATTAGCGCAAAAATATTGTTAACCCTGATGTTGCACTACTTAGGTGAGTGAGTGGCCATAGTATGAACTTTGTTTACCGAATTTGATATCTACTGGGTCTTAAGGACTAAACAGCTACACCGGCTACTCTCTGGTGGCCAATTTCTGCACATCGATGCACATTTGGCAGGTAATCAGCGGTGACCTGAATAGCTTCGTGATAAAATTGCATACGTCAGCTCTGAGTGATGCAGATGCAACTCATGAAGCCATTTCGAGTTCCCTTTATACTGCAGATATTCCTTGTTGATAAGCTACAGCAAGCTTTCTGTCGACTGACTGAACTTCTAACATCGGATTAATTAACTTTTCGTAGTCTACTGTTTTCACTGGTTCTATTTTTGCTCACTCAGTAAAAAGAATTTTACTGCTGTTGAGTTTGTTCAACCTTTTATGAAAGCGTACAAATATTTCAGTTGTCGTGGAAGGTCGTAAGTCGGCAAAAAATGTACAAGGCTTTTTTTATTTACACTGTCTCTATCTGTAGATAAACTATATGCCTTGTTAAACCAGTACTGCAGTATCATGTCATTCGCAAAATGCATACTAAACATTCTAATGCTTTTCTCTTAGGAATTCAGCTGTGCGTGGATCTTGCTATCTTATTCATCTAACAGGACTATTTTATCCACAAACTTTAGATTGGGCATGGTGAGGGAAACAAATGGATTCACAAGTGAACGAAGATTGTCATCATTTTTATTGGTATTTCTGTAACAAATTTAGTATGAATCGATGATACTAAATATCAGCTGGTCGCTTTCATCTCACGTTATGAGTTTCCATTAGTTTTCATTCGGTGACAATAATTCTACTAGACGACATTTGACCAAATAGTTTGCCCCTTCAGCGCTGTATTCAGTCAAGCTTTGTGGAAAATGGTCTCTATTTATGAGGTTAAACGTGGTCTGCAGATGAGAGGATATGGATAACGATGGCAGGTAGTCATTGTATATACGTTTTATTGCTCGAATACAACTGCAATACATTTTTTAGTTACATTTCTTTGTCTGGACACCGGTACTCATTGCTCAACTAGTTTCTCACCAAACTTACTAATGATTGTTATTATGCCTAGTGAAATTAACTGTGAACCAAAACGTTGCACCAGGCGTTACAAATGTTATAAATGCAAAACTGAATTACTTGTCAATATGTCTGACCTCTTCACAACCAATAACTTTACGAATTCCCGTGTGATTGATTGCTTTCATCTAGGACCACTTAGTTAATACTGACTAACTCTTATCCAGTGTACGTCACGCCTATATCCATAAGTTTAAAATAAAACTAATCTTCAAAAACTAATGTAGGCAAAAGTCATTCGGTTGGACACCAGGAGGTAGCTGGTTCGAATCCTGTCACGGCTGAGAATTTTCTTTCACTTTCAATCATCACCCAGTAAGTAAAAATGCCTAACTAACAACTTCATAGTGCAGGATTTTTGACTATTATTTCACAAAATTAAACTGAAATATCTTTTTCCGATGCACCCTTAGATCATAATTTTAACATTAGTAAAAGCAATACATTAAAAACTCGAAAATGACACCGAACTTTGACTCACTAGATTTTATTTTTGGAGCCACTGACTGTTGTAGATGCTGGAATTTTAGGACCTGAATTCTCGTTCAAAGTTCTAGTACGTACACGTTTACAAATTATTATATTTTGACTTACAGATTGGCAATCTTTATAAAGTGATTTTATAACAATAATTAGAAATGTGTGCTAATGTTAGGATTTTTTGATGGTCAAAATAATCTTACGATGAAACTGCGAAGTAATTGGGTATAAGGATGATATGCACCTCATTCTCAGGTTGATAAAATAAAAACTCGCTCCTAACTCAGGCAATTCAACTTTTATTGAGTGATTCATTCAGTATGAAGGTATAAAATGCTGTTTAAGAAAAAGTTAAGCAATCCAGTTGTATACATAAATTTCAGCATGTAGCAGTGATTACTCATGTTTAAAAACAATATGAAAAAGTACGTTGACATTTTCTGAGTTACCTTTTCGTGTACCGCCCACACCGTTCATATTTTCATGCAGTTCGTCTTGTGGCTTAACTTTCCGCTTGGCTTTTCGACCGCCTTGAGAGACGCTAGCAGCAGAGCCCATGTTTTTTACAGAAAGTTGACTGATTTTATTTTATCACTTTATATAGTGTAAATGAATAAACATGCAAGAGGACAGATTCAAAAAATACAAGCTTAAACGTCACATAAATAATTTTGGAATAAATTACTACCACTGGTTGCATGTCATATGCTAAACCAACCTTGAAGCAGATTACAGCAAGGTATAATAACTGGTGAAACCAAGAAAAAATAATCCGATCTTTCTTCTTCAGAGATAGTGAGTGCTACCTGAAGTTGAATTTATTCGTGCATATGCTGTTGGTACACTTTTTACAGTTTCGTATTTCCTACGTATTTATTTCCAGATAATTAATGAGGCGTACATTTCGCTTAGTACTATTATTACTATTATTTGTCCCTTGGGTTCCTAATGGAACATACGGCTTCAGTAGCACGTCTCCACTGCACTCTCTTCTCCGAAATCTTTCGAACCTGGTTCCATGACAGCCCACAGGCTCTCATTTCTTCCTCACACCATCTCATCTATGTCACCCTCACCTCGAACGCCCAACTCGTCGTTTCCCACCTGCGTTCCACTAGAGAGTCTGGCCTGACGCGTGATGTTCCCAGCCGGCCTACTCAGTGTATGCCCAATCCATCTCCATCTCCTTCCAATGCATATTTGTTGGGTGATAGCTTGTTGGTTGATTTGTTGCCAGTCAGAGTTCCTTGTTGCTCATTCTTATTATTCTGGTCATCTCAGCTTCAGTAACCAGCCAGTGTGGGCAGTTGTTGATGAATGTCTGTAGTTTGTTCGAAGTGCTTCTCGTAACGCGCCAAGTTTCTGAGCCATACAGAAGCACTGATTTGACGTCGGTGTTCAAAATCCGGATCTTGTTCAACATGCTGAGTGTAGTGCAGTAGACCTCCACACTGGCTTCAGGCTAATGAACACCTGTCTTGCTGTCTTTCCGATTCTGACTTTGACATCCTCGTCAGTGCCGCCTGTAGTTGAAACAGTGCTGCTTCGCTTAGATAGGTGAAGGAGGCTACTTCCTTTAAGCTTCTCCTGTTGATGGTGATTGGAGCTTGTTGTTGTTGTTGTTGTTGTTGTTGGTGGTGGTGGTAGTGGTGTTGGTTGGGTATCTTCATCACCTCTGTCTCCTCCACAACCACCTGAAGGTAGTCCCATCTTCGCTGCCTCTTCTGTCAACTTGTTAGTTTTCGCCTGTAGATCTTCAAGTTTGTGTGACATCAGACACAAGTCATCGTTGGCGGAATACAAGTCTTCTAGGTTGTTTACGCAGTCCAACGTATCCCCCTCTTCTCACAGCTACTCACTGTTTGTTGCATGATCCAATCGACCACAATCAGGAATATCATGGATGATAGTGGGCAGTCTTGTTTCACTCCTGTCTTCACTTCAAAAGCATCACTGAGCTGAGCTTCCCATTGTGAATTACTTGACTGGCATGTGGTGTCTTCATATAGTTGTTGAATGAGATTGGTAAAGGTTTGTGGTATTCGGTAGAGTTGAAGTAGCTGCTTGTCAAATTGCTTGTCGGTTGAGGCTGTCGAAGGCCTTTTCAAAGTGGATGAAGTTGAGGTAGAGGGTTGACTGCCATTCTGTACTCTGTTCTATGATGGTGCATAGTGTAGCGTTGCAATTTGGTCCGCACATGATTTGTACTTCCTGAAGCCTGCCTGTTCTGGTCGTAGGTTTGAATCCAGTGCATCCTTCAGTCTCTGCAGGATGATGCGGCTTGAGATTTTGCTTTGGTGGACAGGGACAGGAGAGCGATTCCACGCCAGTTCTTGCAAACACTGAGGTCTCTCTTCTTCGGGACTCTGACAAGGTAGACCTTCTTCTTCCAATCAGTTGGCAGCTACCTTCCCTTCCTCTCACACCTTCTGCAATAGTGGTGTGGTGTGAGCATGTCCACTCTTGTCTCTGCATCTGCTCTCAGTGCTTCTGGTGGGATTCCATCTGGTCCTGCTGCTTTCACACATTTCAGTAGTTTTATGGTGCTCAGGACTCCCACTTTTGTTGTAGGATTTATGTTCCCTTGTAGTTCTGTGGCTGGGCTGCAGGTGGTATTTCTGGACGAAGTGCAGGTGGTGGTCGATTCGAGAGCTTTTTGAAGTGGTCGGTCCATCGTTTCCTTTCTTTCTCTTCTTTCGTAATTATATTTCCTTCATCATCTCTTATTGGTTTCATGTGTGTTGATCTCTTCCCTCCCAGAGAGTAACCTGGTTATCTGATACAATGTTGTCAGATGTCTGTCTCTCTCCTACCAGCCGGCAGTCTGTTCTGCTTCACTTGCCAGTGTTTCGTAGAAGTGTTTTTTGTCTTTACGTGCACTATTCTTAACTTCCTTGTCCAGTGTAGTGTTTTATACATTGCACTCAGTTCCTCTTCTCGTTGTGCATCCTTGCACTAGTTTTCCTTCTGCTTCACCATCCTCCTCTCCCTGATCTATCAGCTTCCATGTGTCCATCAAGATCCATTCCTCGTATTGTCTTCTTTCTTCTTCCTTCCTAATACCGTTGTGCAGGTTACTTTCCACATAGCTTTCAAAGACTTCCAGTGTTCTTCCACACAGATATCTTCAGGGATGTTCCTCGATATCTCCCATTTTGTCATGGTGGCTGCTGTGAAGATTTCCTTTGTAGTTTCTTCCTTCAGTTTCCGAGTGTTGTACTTGAACTGTGGTCTATCACCAGCTTCTTCTTTGAAGGCTTTCAACTTGATTTTGAAGGTGGGTTCCTTGCACTAGATAGTGAAGTGAGTGGTGTGAACCTACATCTGCTACTCTTCTTGATCTGACCTTGTGTCCAGTAGGCTGCGTCTCCACTTTCTTCACATTCAGATGAAGTCGATCTGATTTTAGTGTAGTGTGTCCTGGTGTCTGGTGAAATCAAATCCATGTCACTGCCTTGTGAATATCTTTGTGCTTGAACACAGTGCCTCACTGCAATCACCAAATTGTTGAATACACAGAATTCTGCAAACAATTCCCCACTCTCGTTCACTTCACATAGCGCTTCCCGACCCATGGTTAGTTCTCTTCCTGTGTTATCCACTCCCAGTTTACCTGGCATTCATGTCGCTCCACCCATTAGAATTTTGATGTCGCCAACTGGTGTGTGGTCTTGTCCAGTGTTGATTGCAGTTGTCTGTAGAACTTCTCCTTCTTCTCTTCATCTGCATTATTTGTAGGTGCATAGTGTAACGTAGTAGTATTGTAGGATTGTGACTTTCCTTCCTTTTGAGTCGAATCTTGCCATCATAATCCCGATACTGGAGGAGACTGGTTCCCACTGCATGAGAGAGAGCCTTTGGTGCTCTTGGGAGGGGGACATCATGATAGCCACTCCATAACTCAGTGTGCTGTGCTCGTGATTGTCGTCTGGGTGACAATATCGGAGTAGATTATTGATTCTCCAGTTGACAGTTTGCAGAGTCCACTGCCATTCCATCTACTTTCGCAAATTCCAAGCACTTCAATGTGTTACCTCCTCATCTCGTTTTCAATCTGGACAGGCTTGCTGGGTTCAAACATCGTGTGGACATTCCATGTTCCCACAATAACTTTTGCTTTCATCGAGAGATGAGATGACACATCGGCTCGGCTGATTGGCTTGCCGAAGGCTTTCACCAACCGGCGTCATTCCGCCTCTCCGATTCCAGCGAGGAATAATTTTGTTTTTATTTTTGATATTTTGCTTGTGCTTTGAAGTTTGTTTAGCGGTTAGATTTGTTTTATGGAGTAGGGTTGCTAGCCCTACCCTCAACCTTCCCTGTTTACCCAGGCTTAGGACGGGCTATTGACTAGTGAACTAGTTAACTAGGTTTGGTATATCGAGGCAGATACGAACCACCGACCGCTTAGTATGTTACCATTAAAAAGGGAATAAGTCACCTCTTACCAATCCAGCCCTTTCACCTATGAATATGAAATCTGCATCACTCTAAACTGTGAAACTTATTTCTAGCTAAATTGCGCTACACCAGAGTCACTTGAGTAGTTCACAAACCGTCAGCCATCTTGGCATATTGAAAACTTTGAAATGAGATTGAACTCAGGCCTCATTTATTCATATATCTGAGAAAAAATGGGGTGTCTAAAAAACTGACTGTTCGGATATCAGTAGATCTCAATGTTGTTTTCTTCTCTAAAAGTTAACCAACAAACGAAATTCAACTATTCTTTAATCCTGATTCCTTGTTGATTGTAGTAGTAGTGCCATTTCATATGATCTTTACGTTTCAAAAAGCATAAATGTCTAAATATCAGATTCCCTAATGATGCTTTCATTATTGTTTTCTCCGTGATCATGAACTTCAAAAACTGAAAATACAAGCATTATTGTGGCATCTGTACAGGAGTCCATATGCCATAACACACGGAACAATTCGGTCTAACCGACGACTGGATAATGCAAGGAACATCGTATAAACTACACCCTTTACCCAAAATATTTTCTCAACGTGGTCTACAGTTCACTAAGTAGAATACGCACTAATATCTGACTGAAAGGTTCTCAATTTATGACTTTTTCAGATGAATGTCACTACTCGATAAACTTTGCAGTGGCTATGGAATCACCTTCAGCGAAACCATTCCTTTATGTGCTGGGACAAAAAAGGATGGGGAGGGATTAAAGAAATTCATATATCAAAAATCTGCGTAGAATGGACGACTGGAGAACTTTCACAGTTGAGTTGTTACCAGCCAATAAGAAATTCAGTTCATTTCCTTTCTTCTCTACCCCAGGAGTTAGCACTAATAGCTCTTTAAAAAAAGAAATTCAGCTCCCTAGGTCAACATTTATCACAAACGAATGCACCAAGAGGTTCATAAATAAAAATCTGAGTTGGAATACTACCCATCAGTATAGAGACGAATTTAGTTTTTAATTTGAAATTTGACGGAAATGCAGTTGATGAATTATTGGAACGAGGACCAATGAAGGCTTTCTAAAATAATTATATGTAACTGCTGGGTAAATTACATATTTAGTGGCTCAACTGGGAAC